TAGCCTCAAGCTCTTCGTCCTTCTCTTTCAAATTCAACAACGATTTTTCTTGACTTTCAAGCACCTGAAGCAGAGAGCTAACCTTCGCTTCCAGTTCAGCGATTACCTTGTTTTTTGATTCAATCTCAGTAGTTTTTGAACTTTCGGCCTTCTGCAAAGTTTCATTAATCAATTCATCTTTTTGTGTGATGACAGTTTCTGCAACTGCTAAATTTTTCTTCAGACCTTTTGCCTGTTCCGTGAGATTGTGTATTTGTTTATCTCTCACTTCCAGAATCAGCAGAAGCTTCTGCTTTTCTTTCTCAAAAGCCAAAAGAGCATCTGATTTTGCATTCTCACTTTTCAGTTCACTATTGGCCAAGTCTTGCTTTAACTGGTCATTTCCTTTCTTTAATTTTTCCACTGCATCTGCTCTTGATTTTGCCATAGACTCCAATTCAGATATCTTCTGTTGCATATCACTTGCCTTGGAATCTTGTTCTTTTAGAATGCCGAGAAGCCTCTTACTCTCCTTTTCACTGGCTAGTTTGTTATTTTCAAGGTCTTTTTTCAGAAACTCTGCTGCAGACTTCCACTTCTCTGCTTCAAGTTCACTTTCCCTGAGTTCACTCGTTCTTTTGGCCAAATCAAAGGTAGCTTTTTCTAAAGCTTCACAGGCACGTTCTTTTTCCTGGAGAGAAATTTCAGTTTGCTGCATTTGTCCATTGAACCAAAGCTTGTACTTGGATGATTCTTCCATTTTTTCTTTTAACCTTTGGACTTCTGCCTTGAGGACCATTGTTTCTTCACTTTTTTCTTTCAGATCATCAGAAACTGCAAAGTGTGCAGTTTCCATAGATTCCAACTGCTCTTTAAGGAGAATAACTTTCTTGTCCTTCTCCGTGCTGTGGAGCTCTGATTCGGCCATTCCAGTTGATGAGAGATGCTTGCCAGTGGCTGCATAATGAAACTCTGACTTTAAGACAAGGAGTAATATGGAAATATATTCATTTTGAACATACATTGAAGAATGGCAGTCCTCTAGGTCCTTCTCCAAGTTCTCAATTTGTGATTTTTTAACATTCAACTCAGACACGCATTCTTTCATATCTCCCGTCAGTTTTTCAATGTCAGAGCTGAACTTAGCTTCCTTTTGCTTGTATTGTAGAGAGCACTCGTTGTGCAACTTTTCCAGAGATTTCAATCTGGTTTGCAGTTTTTTAGTGGAAGATCTTGCAGCAGCGTCACTGAGTTCTGTGTGTTGAAGTTCCTTAACAGAAGCATGTAAATCCAGATTCTCTTGCTCTAGCAGTGAAGTTCTGCACTTCATTTCCTTGAATAGAATTTCTTTTGTTCTTAGTAAGTTCCGAAGTTCTCCAATTTCGTCATCTCTCTTGAGTGTCAGATTCTCAAGCTGCGCTTTTGTTTCTTGGTGCTCTAACAAGATGCCATCACATTGAGATCTGAGGTCAGACACTTCCACTTCAAGAACCTTTCTTCTGCTTTCCTCGTGAGCTAAAGCTTGGTTGCACATCCTCAACTGAGTCTCAAGATCCTTTGAGATTCTAATGTGGGAAGCCAAGCTCGTCTGCAATGAAGAAATCTCTTCGAGAAGTTCAGATTTTTCCTTTCCCCATTCAGCCTCACTTGCCCGGAAATCATCACGGAGCCTTCTGTGAGCATCTTCGAGATGCGTGAACTGTTCATTCTTCCACTTCAGCTGCTCTTGTGAGATCCTATTGTCTTCCTCGAGCTTGTGGATGATCTCATTTGCCTCCTTGAGCTCTCTTGATGCCTGGAGATTCAGCGGAGCTTCAACACTCTTGACCTTTCTAACCGATAACGATTCCTTGAGCACGTTGATTTCCTTGTCACTGGCACAAGTCTTTTTCTCCAAATCATGAATTTTAGCCATTGCTTCATCTAAAGCCAGCACTAGTTTTTTATTTTCCCCCTCCAACTCCACAATTTTCTCACAGTAATCAACCCTCATCTTTTGATGAGCAGAATTAAGATTCTGGAGAAATGATTCCTTTTCCTGCAATTTGGACTTTATTCCCTCATAAAGCTGTCTAACCTCGAAGATCTCCTTTGACTTTACACACATTTCCTCCGCCTGTCTTTCAATCTCCAACCTAGCTTCTTGAAGTTTTGCTGCTAGATCATCTTGACCCTTCCTCAGGCTTCCACAGAGCTCGGTTTTGGCTTGACATTCTTCTCTGAGCTTCTCTATCTCCACCTTGACCTCGTCCAGCTCTTCACAGATCTTCTCCATTCCCTCTCTTCGTTACACAAAGCATAAAATGTGCTGGTGCATGAAGATAATGTGCAAAAGTTAATGGCCACATTTAATAAACCCGTACTACTACAGAGTATAGATCTTAATCTCCCTTCTCTGAACAAAAATGGACTGCTTATTTTTATTTTTTATTTCGTAGATCCCTCTCCGCCTCAGCATCAAATCAGAGGTAAGAGCAAAGGATTATTGAAAATGCCAATAGAAATTCGATTAAACAGATTACTCGTACGGGAGAAAACAATTAGTATGAATCTCTCTCACAACTCCAGTAATCATTTCACAGAGACCGTAATCAGATGACTCCTAGGGTTCCACCAGAACAACATTTCGCAAAACGGAAGAAAAGCGAGAAATTGAGTTCATATGAAACAGAGAGCTCCATTACTAACCCTAAAACATATATTTGCAATAGATTTAAAAGCATTTCAGAATTTTTTCACAGAGATAAACAGCATCATCATCTTCATCGCACTGCGTGTGTGTGAATCAGAGATTAATAAAGAGATGATTACAAGCTTACGGAGAAATGGCGAAGGTTAGAGGAGAAGCCGATCTTCTGAAACTCGCCTTTCCCTTACGAGCAGAAAGAATTTGAATACTCTATTGGGGAGCGTGGGAGGGAAACTGCTCGTCCCTTTGAAACAGAGGAAAAAAATAGAATTAGGTGCACCCTTTACCCCGAATTCTTTGAAAATTGCATGGTTTACTCCCGAACATTAAAAAGTGCACCAAATACCCCTGAATTCTTCAGAAATTGCACGGTTTACCCCTGAATAATAAAATTGCACCAAATACCCCTGAACTCTTCGAAAATTGTAAGGTTTACTCCTGAACATTTAAATAAAAATGACAATTTTGGGTAAAAATATTTTGGAAAATTCACAAGGGTCAGATGAATGATATTCACAATTCTTGTGCGTGGAAGCAACGCCCTCTCTATCTAATAGTTTACGACCAACGATGCAACGTAATAATTTGTTCAAGGGTATTTGGTGCATTTTTAGTCTGCAGGGGTAAATCGTACAATTTTCGAAGAGTTCAAGGGTAATCGATGCACTTTTTAAAGTTCAGGGGTAAAACATGCAATTTCTAAAGAGTACGGGGGTAAACTGTGCACTTAACTCGAAAAAAATATGACTCCCAAATATTATCTCTTTAAAACTTTTTTATTTATAATTGGTAGAAAAATAAAAACTACAAATTACACCGTTCAAAAATATATCAAAAATTCTATAAAGCAAGATACGATAATAATATTTTATTTTATCAAATGATCATCGAAAACAAGTAAACAAACAAAAGTTATTGAGAACCAAAAATAGTAAGAGTGACATTCTTTTTGGGACAGAGTGAGAGTAAGGTAAGGATATATGGTCAAAAGAGCGAGAAAAAAAAAGTTAAATTTAATTTTCTCCCGCAAAGTACTACATCCATTTTTAAATAGGACCATGCTAGGGTGCTAGCACATGGGTGCTACCATGGGTGCACCCATGTGGTGGGACCCTAGCATTTTCCTTTTAAATAACTGTTCATTCCAACGTTTTATATATCCGTTAATAGTGTAAATTAGATAGATAGAATCTAGAATAATGAACTAAGACCAGTAAACTAATTACTCTTTCCATTCCTATTTAACTACCTATTTCGTTTTGCGTGTCAAATGTTTGACTAACTATATATGGAGTATAAAAATATAGAATACATTAAAATATATATACCAAATTATTGGTGTCAAAAAAAATTTAAATGTAAAATAATTTAAATGTATTATTTTAATATTTTTTGCAAATATATTTTAAGAAATATTGTTAATCAAACTTTAATTTCAAAAAACGAACTGAGCAGTTAAATAGTAATGAAGGGAGTACCAAATTAAAAACACAAATAATGAAGAGATTGTATGTGAAAACGCTTGTGGTCTTAATTGTAATTAATAATACTCCGTATTACTTTCGTCCCAAAAAAGCTCTTATTGAGATTTGATACAAAATCAAAGAAAAGTAAAATTATGTGGTTACAAGTGATATAGAGAAGAGAAAAAGATTAGGAGCCACACAAAAATATTTTAAAAGTGAAAATAAAAGTCATTGTATAAGACATTTCAAATAAGAAAACATGGGCTTTTCTAGGAAAGTGATGGTCTATAATTTTGTAATGAGACAATACAAGAAAAAGAGCATAAACTAGAGAATATAGACTGCGAGACCCACCCGTCAAGCAGGGACGTAAGTCACGGTGACAATACTAAAGGGGAGGTTCTATGAAAAAAATAGTCAGGGCCCCTCCAGGGAGTACATCGGTATTTATAGATTAAAATTGTGGCCCCTCCCTCGTGGAAGCCTAAACCATTGACTCGGTCAAGGTTGAGTTTATACCCATCATACCGTCAAGCGTAGTACTCTCTCTTTTCGAAAATGAATATCATAGTTTGATTTTTTTTTGTCAAACTATGAGTCTGTAACACTTTTTGACCACAAATTAAATATGATTTTATATACATACAGAGTAATTGTTATAAAAGTTTCATACATCAAAACTACATCTTAGAATAAATACGATTGTATTAAGTTTACATCATAACTCAATATATATTTTTTCACGTGTAGTTAAAGGATGTCACAATTTGACAAAAAAATCACATTGTGGCACTCATTTCTGTACGGAGGTAGCATTAAAAATCATATAAATATGGATATAGCATATAGATATATTTATTCGAAATTAAGTGTGAGAAATTTTATGATGAATCTAATCACTTTGGCATATGATTCTGTGGCAATATAGTATATTTGAAGAACATCAGCATTATATACTCCTTATATCTAACTTATATATACACCCAAAAAGATCATTTCAGAAAGTAGCCTCAATTTCCCATACACAACCATGATATGCATATCTATATACACAAATCTTCTGATATGTCTACTATGAGCCGTCTCATAGTATGCGTTTTCCTCTGCCTACGTTTGCTTCTTTCAATGTTATCCTCCTCGTCCTCGGAGTCTTCAACAACAAACCCAACACTCTCAATGTCAGCACTGGAAATGTCAATTATTTCGATACCTGTTTCAGCTTCTTTTTGAATAAATGATGGGTGAATATGATTTGATCCGTTCTCGGTGGAGTCTTCGTCTAGATTGCACAAGACAAAAGTTTTTGCTGTTCTTTGGGGGGAAGAGTGTGCTGGTGTGTTGTCTTCATCATCATCGCAGCTGTTATTTTCTTCCTGAGAATCTAGAACTATCCACTCCACAGATTTCTCACCGGGAAATGATGAGGACGACTTGACTTCTGATTCTCCAGGAGAATTCTGTGGTGATATTGACGACCCACTGCTCTGTGGTTGTTCAAATGGAAGTTTGTCGCTGTCGTTTACAGGGCACATCAATGGAGGAAGTTCAGTCTGTGGGTGCCTCTCATCTACTGCTGGTGTGAAGTCCATAAATCCTTCCTCCATGTTTTCTTCTTCCTGTTTTACACCACAAGGAGACTGATAATATCACTAACAATGTTCAAGAAGGCACTGGCCACACTTTACTTCGTGCCCGGTCTGACGGGGTTGAGCAGGCTCTAACGCTTCTAAGTGGAACTAAGTGAGGCATAAAGTATTATCTACCCCCCACCCCCCACCCTCGGTAATATATCATGAATTATTGCAAAAAATTCAAAGACCATATACGCATTTGTATGCAAAATTTGAATTAGTAACAATGTTTCAACTTATGTGTTAGATCTTTAACACAAAGAAAAGAAAATGAGAAAAAAATAAACTAAGAAGAGGGAAAACATTATTCCTTCCATTTTGGTGAGAAAAAGGAGAGAAGCTGTTTTCTTTTCCTTCCTAATTCCTTGAACCAACCAGTGTAAGTGTGAATTTCTTTGAACTGGATCCTCACCACACACAGAGAACATAGAATAGCTTGACACCTAGGTGGGGATTGTGCTAGGAAGAGATTTTTAGAACAAGGATCACAAGGTCTTAACCTGGAATACACTATATTTTTCCTTTCAATAACAGGGTAAGGGGGAACAAATGCAGCATTGCTAGCAAATAGCAATAAGGCAATAAGCTCGTGTTAGCTCATACTTTAATGTGTAATTAGGAAAAAGAAGGTAAGCATAATGATTGGGGAGTAGATCAATTACCTCTATTGGTGACATCATTTTACCACTGTGACTGGTCAGCTTCTCCATTCCAGGATGCATATGATAGTCCACGAAGTTGGCAGCTTTTGGAGTAAAGCATGGACCAAAAATGAAATCTGATACTGCAAATTTACTGCTCTTAAGATGCCGTTGTGGTGGGGACATGATTTGACCTTCAGGATCAACTGTATGGCACAAGTCACTGGTTTGGCCTTTTTCAGTCGTAGACATGCATAATTCCTCCATGAATTCTACACCTGCGTGTTCCTTATCTATTCCACTAGAAGAATACTTGTAATAATCGGTTGAGCCATATTCTCCACTCTGTTTTAGAATTTCATAAATCAACTTCTTGATATGGTCACGTTTTTGAGACACGTCTCTAGGCTTGAACCAGTCCTGGCAAAGCTGAAAGAGTGTATATAAATGCTTATGAGACTTTTAATTGCCACACACACACACACACAAACTAAATGTTCTAGCAAAGCATCAAGGCTCGATTAATAGAAATAGTAGCAGCAATGAAATAACAATCAACATTTAGTTCTTAGATTCAGTGATTGGACAGTCAAACCTCGGCTAGATGCATACTAGACAACTTATATAAGATGCTGCAGTAGAACGAAGCTAGGAATGTAAAAAAGGAATCAACAAATGATACATGACAACTTCACACAGAAATCCCTCTAGAGGAGGCTCAAGTCGAAAGATTCAAAAAGGTAACTCACAAATCTGGGTGGAAGTCTAAAAGGGCTGAAGTTGACCGGAGCCTGCTCCATAAAAAGTTCAACATAGTGTAGCAAAAAAAGACCGCAATCAAATGAGTTCTCCTGCTGTGGCAGCTGAAACAAGTTCAAAAGAAATTCAGTAGCTACACTAAAAGGACATGCTGCACACTTGGGGTCAACTTGGAACCTACATCACGCAAGGAAAAGAAAATAGGGAGGAAAATAAATGAGAAAGTTGAAAGGAATTTGTTTTAGATACTTGTTCAAACTAATTGTTTTTATATATTTGTATTGCAAAAAAAACTAAGAAATATAAATATATACTTCATATATAACTTTAAAAAGGTGTAATAAAAAACTGACTTTTTATGTCTTTTCTAAAGTGAACCTAAACATACAAAAAAGTTGATATCAACTTTTTTCCCAACAATAAGGAAAGAGCATGTGTTTCATATTGTGCTCTGCAACTAGATATATATTATCACCACCAAACATATATAGACTAGTCAACAAAAATAAGTTCAATAAGGGAAAAACTTACTAATTCTATGGCATTGTCCTTATGAATGAAGATTTAATCATTTTAGAGGGTGCCTTAACATTCTCAAGAGAACTTTTTTCCCATATGTGTTTTTAGTTGTAAAACATGAGTAAAATGGCCAAATGGAAAAGTGATGCTACCTCGAGATGAACAACTTGAAGATTCAAGAACTTCCTGCAAACATCTTCAGCTAGCTCTCTGTGCCTCGCTTTCCATTCTTCGCACAAGTAGCTGCCCACATTACAATGAAGAATGTTACTAGTATTTACCTTATTCTTCCCCTAAGCCCTATCTACTGGATTGTATTAGTTTCCTCCAGACTTATTTCTGATGTTTTTGCTAATATATTCCTGCACCACTTCTACAAGCTAACAATTACAAATATTCATCAAGATTGAAGCAAAACATCGATGAACCATTGATGTGTTTTCCTTTAGAAGTTGTGGTGACTAGTGAAAGTATTGTATCAGAACTATTCATAATAACTACATAACAGTTGATGATTTAAAAGACTGCTCACCTTTGAAAGAGATTATTGAGACCCTTATGGCTTCCTCTAAGAGAATCCATGTGCAAAATGCATGGGGCCCGGGATATCTTCTTCATTTCATCATCTGCTCAAGAGTTTCTGTTATTGGAGATATAATCTTATGCAAAATTGATAAAAGTGAAAATATAAGTTAGCAATCAGACCTCGATAGCTAGCCACTTCGCCAGGATGACAGATGACAATCAAACTCCAGTGAAGACTGCAGAAGAAAAAACATCTTACTATAGAGGGTTAAGAATTACAAAAAAGAAGGCTAAAATATTTTAATGGTAAGTATGAGCTGCTCTCCTACCTGAAGTTTATTGGAACAAAAATGTAATCTTTTTTAAAAATATCAACTTTCATTGTCCATCTGCGAATGCGTTGAAAGGCTGCCTTTCCTTCACAAGCTTGAGATGGATCTTTATCCAGACCAATAAGCTTTTGAAAGAAAAAGCAATTAAAGAAATGGAACATGTGCCTCTTCTCTGAAGGGATATTATTCATGAGATACCTGCCAATTGTTTTGTATATATTGAAATATTCTTTATTTGACAATGTCAGAGCAATTCAAGAAAATAGCATGAACCAAAATACAATTCCAGTGCCAAGCATGCACATACGTGATGTAAAAATCAATAATAGTATCATTGATGAATGTCTCTGGTTGAAGCAGATCAACATCCCTCCTACTAATGGAAATAGCAGCAGGATCACCTTTAGGATAAAGAACTTCATGAAAGGGTTCTTCTGAACTGCATGTAAATAATATCCAAGCAACATGAGAAATTGCTCAAGGATGATAGAACATTGAATGTACATGTTTTTATTTACTCTTTTTCTATGTAACATGTTTTCAAGAACAATAAAATAGAGGATAGAATGGGTTCCCAACTTCCAATGATTATCAGTCCAGATTAAATAGTGGCTATTGAATTTTTTCAATTCCCACACTATTCAAGACAATGGCAAACTTCAAACACCATGCCCTTATTATTTTGAAATTTGAATATTGATAAAGGAAGTTGGAAACAGCTAGTAGATCAGTGCCAATAAATAATTTTCCAGGAAGTTTTGGATAAAGAAAATAGGGTCTGCTTTTTCAACTTTTAACTTCAGTTATCAAATTATCTATCATCCCGCCCCCCCCCCCCCCCCGGTTTTAGTGAAAATTAAGACTATATCCCTTGATAGCTATACTATCAAATGGTAACTTATTCCCTTAAAAATGCTTGAAGGAAAAAACCTTTTCTGTCCCACATATAACTCAGTCCGCTTGGTCTCAACCCTGAAACAGAGAGATATTCTCGTAAGTGCAATATGCTATATGATGACAAAGATGCTCAAACCAGTGTACCTAAATTGAAGTCACTCGTTAATCACCGAACTCTGAAAGCCATACAAATACTCAAAACATAAAGTAGATGCATANTATTCCCTTAAAAATGCTTGAAGGAAAAAACCTTTTCTGTCCCACATATAACTCAGTCCGCTTGGTCTCAACCCTGAAACAGAGAGATATTCTCGTAAGTGCAATATGCTATATGATGACAAAGATGCTCAAACCAGTGTACCTAAATTGAAGTCACTCGTTAATCACCGAACTCTGAAAGCCATACAAATACTCAAAACATAAAGTAGATGCATAGTGCTTAAATTGCAAAGAAGATATGATCCACCATTTATCAAATGGATAAAGAGAAAAAATGGATCTCTTGAGATTGATATAGTTGCTTAGGAGGACTGCCATTTAGATTTTGAAAATGCAAATTTTTAGAATATGAAATATTAAGACTGCAGTGACATAAACTCACCCGACAATATAGGTCTCATTCTTTGGGACTTATTTTTACTAGTCTGGGTTCTAGAGTCTTAAACTTAGAGTTTAGAGTCTTCAGTCTAGAGATTGGAGTCATAAAGTATGTAGAACTCATAAAAGTCTAGAGTCTTAAATCTGGAATCTAGAGCCTAAAGCCTTAAAGCTAGAGTTTGGAGTTCGAGTCTTACGTCTTAAATCTAGAGTCTTAAGTCTAGAGTGTAGAGTATGACGTATAAATGAATAATGCCATGGAGAACAGGGCCATAATATATTTGTAAAACATTTAAACCCAACTCACCGAACACTTCTCCACTTAGCCGTATAGATGATGTCCAGTGATTGAATTGCTTCTTGTATGAAAGACCAATTAGGATTATGAACAGCAATTGTCAACACCCGAACATCTATAAATACCAAGGATTTCAGGTAAACAAATATGAAAATCATGGGAACTATGTTCTCCCTTTTCATTTCATCTTCACTGTTTAGCAACATGAATTACTTTGTGGTATTTATATAAAGCCTTTTAAAGTATTAGACTTATTAGCTAGCATTAAAAAAAATTTCCTCAACTAGAAATAGAAACAACTCAAACAATACTTTAACACAAAAATGATGGGTGTCATCTTCAGTTCAATATGAAATGTTGCAAATACAAGGAATATTCTTCTCTCCAGGTAGGAAAATAAACACATTTAAAATCTTCACATGTTTAAGCATGATCAATGAAAGGATTTTTATGCTATTACAAACCTGATGTCCTCTGAGTCTCGTACTTCAAATGAAAATCCAGACGAGCTGTTTTCATCTAAACAGAAAAAGAAATTTGAACTGATTTAAATACACACTCATTCCCTACAGGAAGTGAGAATATGAAGATGTGCAAGAAACAAAGCCCGCTGAAACTCACAACATCACACCAAATAGACTCAATGCAGACAATATCAGAAACCATCCACTTAAATGTGTGAGTCCTTGTTGTCCCAAACTTGGATAAAGCCTCGAGTTGAAGGCATTTTGGAGAAAATTCCAAGCAAGATTCTTCGGAACAAAAACTCCCGTATATAATATGATCAGGGTGAACAACCACCAAAGCTTCCTGTATATCATATGAAAATTGTGCCTTACAAAAAGAGGAAATATGTAATAAACAGATATAATATATGGAGAATATAATAATAACCTATGTGTCCCGCCCTACACTGAACCTAGTAACTTTTATAGCAGACTTTATGAGAGCCACCTAGTATATTTATTATAAGTTATATTTTGCCAAAAAATGAAATGATTGAGTATAGAGTTTACAGTAACATGTGCATGGGACGTAAACTTTGATGGTTGTTCTTCTAGCAAACCTGCAGCAGCACCAGCTATGGATTTAAAAAAATAAAAAGCATTAGTTACATAAGCAACTAAGAAAGTAAGCTTTGAATGATTGATTCAATGAGGAAAACCAACCCAAGCACTGTGCACTGGAAGTAGATTTTGAAGATCTCGAGTCGGTCACAGAGTCTTCGTCTGAATCTACAATAACTGGCTCATTCTACAAATAAATATAAGATGAGTAATTGCATCAGAATAGAAGTACATACACAAAGACACACACACAAGCATCATGAATATGCATCAGTGCAGAATGACAAAAAATAAACCCACTAACATCAGCTGGGAATAGAGAACGACTTGCACTTAAATGTTTGTCATCAGTCACAGTGCCTGGAACTCTTGCTGAACGGGGTGTACTTTCACTCGAAGAACTCACCAACTCATGATATTCAGTTTGATTGAGTTCCAATGGCCTATGGTTAGCAGAGCCGGACGATGAAACTCTATCACACTTGATGATCCCCTCATCCGCACGACCAAGACAATGATCAATATGAACAACTTCATCCTCAATCTCCTTTCGTATATTCTTCTCTCCTCTGGCAACTATGAAATGGATAATGAATTGTTCATCATTTGTTCAAAAAACATTACCTACGAAACATAATGCTAAAAATTCAAAACATGACACTCCATATTCAGACAATCAGACAACAACACAATGCTCATCACTTCTAAGAGCACCAAAAGCATCTCGAATTTGAAAACTCATACATATGATACAATCATGAACACAAACGCATGTCGTGAATCTGATCAACCTTGTGCTAAACAGCAAACACGACATTGACGAAATTCCTCAGGAAGGCATCAAATTTTGGAAAGGCGTGTGCCATTATATTGAAATAAGGACAAGGCAGAGAAGGAGCGTACACGAATTTAGGAAAGTGAGTTTGGAGACGGGGGAAATGTGTTTCTGGGGGCTTTTCTTCTTAAATTTGGAGAGTTTAATCTTCGATTCCGTTTCGATACGCTCGTCATCTGCAGCGAAGTCGAAGGCAGCAAACTTGTGTTTTCCGGGACTGTGGCTACCCGAGTACTTCGTCTTGGTCATATCTTTTGGGTTATTCCGATCAGTTAGAAATCCTGCCGGTGAGGGTGACTGGCCGCCGGTCGAACGCCCGAGGGGTTTTGCCTATTTTTGAATGCGGACTGCGGAGTATTTTCTGAATAATACGGAGAAATAGGGAGAAGATTATCGATATGCAGATTGAAGGTCAATACATTGTCTCATTTTTTTACCCCTACTATTCTAATAATGTACTAAACAATAGTATATCAACTATAATTTTTTTCTTTCTTCTAAATTATTTTCAAACCCTAACTTTAAATTTTTCAATTTTTTGTTAAATATCGTGAAAATAAATTTGAGACAGGGAAAATACTATTTTGGTTTTCTAACAATTTTTGTGTATTTCTATATATCATTTAATAAAGTAAAATATTGTTCTCACATCTTGGTTTATAGAATATTTGATATAGTTTTAATTATGTAAACTATATTTTTCTGTTTGCACTACTTCATAAATAAAATAAGTTTTTAAAACATGAAATTTTACATGTTGTTACAATTGTTTTGGGACGAAGAGCATATGAGAAATATAATACTTCCTCCGTTCCTAAACGTATTGCATGGAAACTTAAATGAGATAAATCCCAAATTAGTTCAATTCATTTTATTCAAAAATTAGTATAGAATCCAAAAATAAATTTTGTGTGCTTATAAACTGCATTAAAAAGTTATACTCTCCCTTCCAAAATTATAGTTTATCTTCAAACACTATGTGAAATCGCGTATCTTTTAAAATGAATTTGTTTACAAAATGATATTGAAACAATAAGTGCAAATTACATATTTTTAAAATACATCAAAAGTTTTACAATATAAGATGATCAATCAAGTTCATAAAGGTAATGAGATATTGATCACCTTAATGAGTGAACAATATCCCATCACCACATGTGTCTCTCCACTCTATAAATGAGATGTTTTAGACAAAGAGAAGACATTCAATTATACTCATATAGCTAGAATACTTTTGAAATAAAATATGATTTAAGTCATACTTTGTTGTGTTCTTGATTTTCTACATGCTATTACTGATCCGGTCAGGTTAAGTCATTCGTTCCTTACGCAGTAAAATGACACAATTAGGCATTGTATAGCATTATAAGTCTTATTTTGATATAATTTTTGTTTGATATATGGAACATGCTTTAGTCTTACTTAGACAGTTCGGTAGAATATATCTCCTAAATTTAGAAAATGTTAATCCAAGAGTTTTGAATTCTGCCTCAACCACCGCAACCCACTCATGGCAGTCATTCACCACCTCATAATCATGTCTTTTTATCTCTTATTTAGATGATTCTAAAATTTTGTTCCAAATAGTATTTATATCACGAACTTCCCTGCATAAGAAAAATAATAAATTTTAAAAATGGCATATTCTTATAATCATTGATTTCCTATATTAGACATATTTTATTCATCCTTAAATTAGCGTCTTTTTTCGAACAACGTATAAAATCTCATATTTTTTATTTGATTTTATTTAAGAATTGATATAGAAATAAAAAAAATATTATTTACATATTTAAAAGCTAAATAAAAACTACATGAAAAAATCCGGTGACATTCTTATTTTATTTTATCAAAAAATCAATAAAAACGCATATGCAAACAAAATTATCGAAAGCCTCAAATAATAAAAAGGAAAATAAGTTGAGAGCAGAGGTAGTATATTTTTTATATAGACCTTTTGTCCGTATAAGAATTTATCTTTCAAGTAAAATAAATGTGATTCACATTCTTTCTATTTCTTCTAAATAATTTTTAAAAATTTATTTTTTACCTTATTAAAAAACATCTCAGAGCAAACCAAATATATGGAGTTATCAACTTTAATCTTTGATAAAGTGGAGTGTCAAAACTGAAATCATTGATGGTCCCCCAATTTGATGAAGACTACGAGGGCCGGGGTTGAGGTAGGAGTTGGGCTAGAGTGAGGGATTTGTAAGGGGATATGACAACTTTGAGATGGAATGAAACATCAAAGAGTACTCAAATAGGCCAATGACATATGATGACACTCTCCAAATAGGGTGCATGCCAAATAGGATAATGTAGTGTCAAATTAAATTAGTGGATTTAAATAACTTTTTATAAAATTTATGAGAAATATACTACTGGATATTAGTGTCAGACAGTTTGAGATCAAATGGGGACCGAAGAGTACTTAAATGGACTAATGACATAATATGATAGTCGCTATAAGTGTTATTTGAACCCCACATATATTGTCATGTTAGAATTTTCAGTTTTATCTTTTTACCTAATTTATTTTTTTTCTCAAAATGAGTGAATTTTTTTGTTATTTGGGCATTGCAAGGTGGTGTCATTTTTATGACACCACCATACTTTGGAGACATACTCTATTCCGTTATGATTCCTACATCTAAACTCCACCCTCTTTCGCAGATTAACAACGCCACGAAGAGGGGTGTATGAAAGTTTTATTTTGTGAGGGGAAGAGCACCGTTGCCCTCCACATCCTCTTCAAAGAAGGTACCCCAAATAGGATAATGTTATACTATGATATTATCTAGTGTCAAATTAAATGAGCCGAACTAAAAAAATATTTCACAAAGAAAATGAGAAATACACTACTCGATACTAATGTAAGACACAGTAAGAGTTCAGTATGATTCTAGAGTTACTAGTTTTCGGTGTCTTGTTAGGCAAAACCATGATCAACACCAATTGAGAGGGATTTCAGTTGGTTCTTGAAGGATTTTAGTTTCTTTTTTGTTATATGTAAATATTATGAATCAATCTAAACAAATTGAATATTAATTGAAAAAATAAATAATTGATTTTAGTTCCAGACGGGTCAACTTCTAGCTCTAATTCCAAAATCCAAAACAGAAAATTCTAATCGCAAAATCGATTTCGATTATAGTTTCCGGTTTCGGTTCTGGTTCAGGAGCAATTCCATGATCTAATGTTTGGTTTCAAACCGGAACTCTCTATTAGTACAACTCATTAGACTCACTCAAGAAGAGTGGAGAGGATATACCGTTAATATCCCTACTTGTCCGAACCCCCCAAACCCCAATGCATCTCTTCCCGTCTTTTAGCCGAAACTCGCTGCCCTTTTTCGTCATTTCACCAAGCAGCAGCTGCTCCACTCCTCCTCCGCGGCTCCGCCTGAGATTCACCACTCCACCCTCCAATCCGAATCCAATGAAAAAGCAGAGCGACTTTTCCGATTGAATCCAAAAAAAAGAAAAAGAAAGGAAAGAATTGCGGGGCGGAGAGAAATGGAACACCCATTCTTCATCAACGCCAACTCGAATCGGGCGGAGGCGATCAGATGGTTTTCGATCGCAGAGAAGCTGCTGAACACGCGCGATCTGCTAGGGTCCAGATCCTTCGCGACCCGGGCCCGAGACTGTGACCCGACCCTGTTGCAGGCCGAGCAAATCATCGCCATAGCCGACACCCTGCTCGCCGGCGAGAAGCGGATTAACAACCAGCACTGCGACTGGTACGGCATCCTCCAAGTCCCTCCCAACCAGCGCCACGACGGCGACTTCATCGCCAATCAGTACCACCGCCTCGCCCTCCTGCTCAGTCCCAACAAGAACAACTTCCCCCTCGCCGATCAAGCTTTGCGCCTCGTCGTCGAGGCTTGGTCGTTGCTCTCTAACCGCTTCAGGAAGAGCCTGTATGACGAAGAGATCGGGTTCTTTCTCACCCTGAATCAGGAACCGGCTCCTCCTCCTCCTGCTTCACAGCCCAGCGCGTTTAATGTTTTCCCCAACTCGGGCAGGGAGCAACAGCAGCAGCAGATGCTATTTGCTAGCCGCGAACAACAGCCTATGAGCGCCGGGCAATCATTTCTGACCTCTATGCAGCAGCAACAGCAGCAGTCAAGTTCGAGCAGAGGACAGCAACCAGGAATGTTTCTCAATCGAGACCAACAGCAACAAGTTACTTCGATCCCCTCCCTGAACAGAGACCCACAGCCGCCGGAGACCTATATTCCGAGCTCCACTAGAGAGCCGCATATGATTTCCTTTGGGTCAAGCCCAGATCGAGGAGAGCAACTACGTGCGGCTTCTGTGCAAGACCCCCCTCCTGACCATCACAGGAACACGCAGCCACAATATGAGGGGTTTGTAGGAAACACTAATGACAATATTTTTGGTAGTTCTATTGATGATGAAGCAAACAAGGAGAAAGAAATGAAAGTCGATGAGCCTAAGATTGACATTCCTAGCTTTTGGACTGCATGCCCATATTGTTATCATATGTTTGAGTACCCTGATGTATATGTCGACTGTACACTGCGGTGTCGCAATTGCAGGATGGCATATCAGGCCATAGCAACCTCTTCACCTCCTCCCATCATTGACGGGAAAGATGCTTACTTTTGCTGTTGGGGTTTTATCCCATTGGGGTTCTCTGTGGCAGATTGGGAGAGAAATAGGAATCGAGCTACGAGCTGGAGTCCTTTCTCACCTATGTTTACTTGTCCTATAAATGGAGGGAAGAATGGGGTTAGTGGTGGGAAAACTGCAAATTATACTGCTGTGGGCCAGAAAGATGGAAACTCTTCAGGTGGTTTTCATAGTGTCAGAGCACCAAAAGGTGGTAGTGCTGGCCAAAAGAATGTAACTCCAAGAATGGATGATGGTGGTGGCCACCTTGGCAGTGGTGGCGGGTGTGGTGAAAATGACGAGCCCGTAGACTCAGGTGGGGTATCAAATGAAGATTGGCATGATGGTAGGGCGAGGAAGAAAGCAAGAAATGTGAATGAAAAGGGGGTAAATGTAATGACTCCTCCTAGTAGAAGTGTCCAAAAACATCAGGCAGAAAATGGGAAGAATGGCAATGGTAATAATACTACAGGTGGTAAAAAGTCACTAGATGGTTTGCAAGTTCAAGGCGGTGGCCGTGTCACAACTGAGGCAACCAAGAAAGGTATTGTGGGCAATGCAAGGAGACAATTTGGGAGAATTGCCAGAGACTATGGGAAATTGGACCTGAACGTGGAGTTCAGTAATGACGGTGAAGATCATCAGTATGGGATGGGTGGTCGTGGACATGGAACAGGAAGGGGAGTGGATGATAACATCGAGGGGATTGGATTTTTTGAAGGTCTTGATGAGTTCCTAAGCAGTCTTCCGATACTCAACGTGGTTGGTGAGGATAAGGTGAAGGCTGCCTAGTGAGCCAGTCACCATTTCTATTGTTGTTATAGTTGTAACTTTAGCATATTGCATTTACATCTTGTATGTTTGTAGTATTGAACCAGGTATGGTTACTTGGTGCATGACTTTGGTGTATTATTCCGTTGCATATTTTGCAGCAAATCTAATGTGTCTTTTGTTGTTCTCTATATTGTATTTGCTATAATTAGTTTTTAAAAAATGGATATAGCATGTAGTGCATGGCTTTGGTCTCTGCTACATGCTCCATTATTTTCTGCTCCATAGAAGATTAAATGTATTATACTTCTTAGCATGCTAACCATGACTGCCATTTTGTTTGGAAGGAAAAGATTTAGGTGAGACCTGAACTGCTAGCTATCATCTTCATCTTGCAGTGTAAGCACCGTCTTTGTGCAATGTGCTAGTGTACTTACCCATGTACAGCATTTTATTTTTTCTCTCAAGCTAAATGGTGGGAGGCTGATTCCTTTTTCCTCTTTCATTTACGTTTTTTCTGTCCTAATTTCAAATGTAAATTTACCATTTTCAGTTTCAATTATTATTATTATTTACATTCTAGTATCCATCCTTTAAAATGAAAAAAAAATTACTGGAAGTTTCATTGAGGTTACTCAAAATTCATAATTCTTTATTTTAGAGCTCAGAAATTGGAGACTTTCTCTCCCTCCCTTTTATTTTAATCCGTGCAATTTAAATGTTAGGAATTGCTAAAAAATTATCAAAGCAGTTTTCTTCATTTTGGATTTTTTGTCTCCCATTCTGGAAAATGGCTTATGGCTAAAGCTCACACCAACTATTGTCAGCATATACTTTGTTAATTTTGTGGATGTTGAGTGTTTTTCTCTACAGTTACGTTTTAGAAAACTCTTTCCATTTCATATTATCATATTGGACTGTCCCCATAACTCAATTTAAAGTTTGATAGAGGTTTGCAAGTCTTCTTCATGAGTCATGCCTCATGCTCTACTGCATTTGTGACCTAATTTTTTTGCAACTATTAGCAAATTCAGCTCTCTGATTACTATCATATGCCATACCTATACTCTAGCTGTTTGTCAGTCACAGAATATGCTGCTTGATGTCGTTTTGAAAACCCAAGGTACTAAACCTATAAATTGGTGAATATATTATTCATTTAATAAGCTCTCGATACAATCTTTTTCTATTACAAAAGTTCAGTTTATAAACCTGGGAAGATGAATTGTTGCCTATACCTGTCCTATACTCTTGTTTTGGTTTTAAGATTTATAGTTGTATGCAGATGAGACATGTAGATGCAAGAAAGTCCTCGTTCTATTTTAGCCGTGGCTGAACAGAGAGACTCAAAAGCTCTTGTAACAGGTGAGAGTTACTGAATCATGTAATCACACTGTCATCTCCTTTATATTTTATGAACCCATGGCTCATTATCTGGCTATATTCTGTTGCTTTGGATGCATATGAAGTTACACATGACTTTTAAATAACTGGTTTTCCAAACACTGAATTCTTGGCTGATGGTTTGCAAGTTTTAAGGATAGGGCTTAGACCAACTAACACAAAAAACATACTGTTCACTCAACGATTGCCTTTGAGTAATGATCCATAATACTAAATTAACCCAACTATTAATGTTTTACTCTCTCCGTCCCATAAAGAAGTTTGCACTTTCCTTAATGGTATGTCCCCAAAAAACTTCACGCACACTTTTTTTCTTCCTTTTTTTATTTATGGAAATGATCAAATGAATGTGTGGCTCATGGCATGTATCACTCTTTCAAACAAATTTTAACACTTTTCTTAAATTACGTGAAGTCAAACTATGAACCTCTTTACGGGATGGAGGGAGTATATAATTGTATTATACTATTCCACAACATATACACTTAATGTCGTAGGATATTTTTTCTAGTTGAAATTTCAAAGTTCAAAGGACACCTGGGCTGGATTGACTTTGCAGATCATCAGTGTTGTTGAGCTGGTGAACCAGCCTATCTTCCGTAACTACCTACCAGACAAAGATAAAGTCCTCCACACACATCCCACTTCTATATAAGCATGCCCATATAGAAGGCTAGAAGCCAATCTCATCCCAACCCAAACTTGAAAGAAAAGAACGCAAACACATTTTCATTGAGCTTGTTGACCATATATCCCTCGCAAGCTGCAAAGAATGGCGGCTCGTCATCTTAACCCAACCGCATCTATCTCTTTTTTCCTTCTTTTTGTGGCAATCACTACCACCACTACCCTATCACCATCGTTATTCATCAACACTGAGGCCAGACTCCTTATGCAAGCAGGAGACAAGCCTCACGAACTTGGTGTTTATCCTCCTTTTCATCAAAGCCCTGATCATCCCAAGAAAGCAACTGAAGTTGCTCCTAAACTACCAGAGCTTCCTAAGAGTCCTGATGTGCCAGAGCTTCCAAAACCCAAAGTACCAACTTTCCCAAAGCCTGAAGCCCCAGAGCTTCCAAAACCTAAAGCACCAACTTTCCCAAAGCCTGAAGTGCCGGATCTTCCAAAACTCAAGATACCAACTTTGCCAAAACATGAAGTACCAGAGCTTCCAAAACCCAAAATTCCAACTTTGCCAAAGGTTGAAGTGCCAGAGATTCCAAAACCCAAAATTCCAACTTTACCAAAGGTTGAAGTGCCAGAGATTCCAAAACATCCCATGATGCCAGAGATTCCAAACACTCCTCACGTGCCGGAGCTTCCAAAACCTATAATACCAACTTTGCCAAAACCTGAAGTGCCAGAGCTTCCAAAACCTAAAATACCAACTTTGCCAAAGGTCGAAGTTCCAGAGACTCCAAAGCTTCCAAAACCTGAGATGTCAACTTTGCCAAAGATTGAAGTGCCAGAGATTCCAAAGCATCCTGAGATGCCGGAGATTCTAACACCAGAACTGCCAACTTTACCAAAGCCTGAAATTGCAAAACCTCAAGCACCGGAGATTCCAAAACCAGAACTGCCAAAAGCTCATCAGCCAACCCCGGATGATAAGCCATGATTTCTTTCCATAATGCCTCGGCCTGCGACACACACACATCCTTCACCAGTATTTTCAGAACATTTTAGGTTTCATCCTACAGTCATACTGCATAGTATTGTGTATTTGCATGTCATCACATGCATGCATTCGTTATTTTGCGCCATCGGTTTTGTAGTTTAATGACACAATAATTACGTGTGTGCACGCCACATATGTTCTTCAGGCATTGTTTGTGTACAAACTTTGGGTAATTTATACTCTTATTCAGTTACTATTACTAGTAATTACAGAGTATTATATGATCTGGGCTTATGGTGGTTGACAAAAACCATACAACTCACATATATACGAAAGGCTTTCACTTTTAATTGATTAGTTTCCGATTAAGACCATCACAAAATGTTGGAAAGACAATTCGTAGCTACTTCATTCGTTCTAGAACATTAATACGGAGTATTTACTACTCCCTCCATCCCGAAATGACCTCTCCAAATTGACTTTTCATGCATTTTTAAGTGTTGAAAAATATTTATCTGCTCTCGAAAATTAAACCCACAAAAAAAAGAATTGAGTCTTCAAACTCACTTGGTTTAAATTGTTTGGTAAGCATATTTTGGTAAACATATCTCGAACTGTAGAAATATTACAATTTGACTGAGTAGAAATATCTCAAACTGTAGAAATATCTCAAACACATCTTGGATGTGCTGAGCTTCAAACCGAGTCTCGGGCAGAGCCGAGTTTTATACTTTTACAGTAAAGGTAAATAGAGTTTAAAATTTTGCCAAATATATTTCTGGTGTATTCTTCATAAGGTTAAATTTTATTATCTTTGTTTGACAAAGTACACAGTATAATTTTTACTACTCATTTCATAATATCCCGGAGTACAATATATTCATGTTCCCGCTTATTTTGTACAAAATTTAGTATAGTTTTTAGATATATTTTACTCCCTCCAATTTCAAATATTCTTCATGTTTTGCTTTTTTGTTAAATAGTGACACTCTTTGACCACAAGTAGTATGAAAAGTAAATGAAATTATAACATTAGTTCAAGATATTTAGATTCATTTTCGCATATAGTTTCGTTATGTTAAATTTTTAGGACATTTATTTATTTAGATTTTTTTTTAATTTTTGTCTAAGAGTGTTACTGTTTTATTAAAAAAAGTCAAAATATGAAGAGTTATTAGAATTGAAGAAATATTTTTTAAATTTATACCTATTATCAAATAAAATAAATTAAAAATCAAATTATATTGTGGACGAAAGGGGTGGTTTAGACTACCCGGGGACCGTGTGGGGAGATATTTATTTTATTTGGTCAATTTTGTGAGTGGGGTCCGATAATATTAGACAAAGGGTGGGGCCAATGGGACACGTGTATATGCAGCATCTTTCATTCTATCTGTAAGCGTCCCCTCATTTACTCGTCCCGAAAATTATTGGTCCAAGATTTAGAAAACTCCCAAAAATTTAGAAAAAATGAAAAGTAAAGATTTTTATTCAGTTTTGACTTTTTCCTATTAACCATATTCAATCTTTGATTTATAATTAAATTATATATATATATATATATATATATATATATATATATATATATATATATATATAGACACACATACATATACATACATACATACAATGAAAAGTAAAGATCTTATGAATAATATTTATTTAATTTTTTTGAATGTTTTTAGCTCTGTTATAAGAAAGTATCCGTTCATATCATTCTTAACTTAATAGCGTACACAGAACCAACACTTCTACTTCCGTTGAGGTTCGAATCTGGGTGAACTTCTACAAAAATTCTGGAGAATAGACTTGCTACCACTCAAGCGAGAAGAGAAATTCGAATAACATTTATTATTAAACTACAAGTTGGTTATTCCCTCGGTCCTAATTTTTTATGTTAGCTTTTACCAAATCAAACTTTCTTATGCTTAGACTAATTTTTATTGATTAAAATATGTCATGTCAGCGTGTGACATTTCATTTTTCTTTATCATTGCCCATGCTCTTAAGTCTTCACCTAGTATGAATTTATTTTGCTTGAGAATGAATGATATTAGTACTACTTTGTTTCAGAATGAACATTATAACTCTATTAAACAAAAAGAGAAGGATGCACTTTAGTTTGGGTATAGCGAGTTGTACCATAGGAAAGGCAAACGTTGTTGGCACCCACCGTCTTCATTATAATCGCAGAAACAAATGCTCTCTACTAATGACCAACAATCATCGTCCCGTCCCAGATAATAACTGTCGAGAAAACAACGGGACCGGCAACAAAGCTTCTGTGTGAGCCTTCTTCTTCTTCTTCTTCCCCTTCCATCCGTTCATTGAAATACACGCATTTCTTGCCTTCCTCCCTTCAACCACCTTTCTCCTTTTCCCTTTCCTCCTGCTCTGGAAGGTTTCAGATCAACTGTTACGGAGCTACTTCCTCATCATGTGAGATTCGCATGAGCATTTTGGAGAGGGGAATAGAGGGCAGCCATGGAATTTGCTAGAATTAGGGATCTTTTCGCCCTAAGGAGCATTTCCAGAAGCACCCGGGTTGCCCTCGTGGGTGGAAATCACACCGCTGCCAGGTTCTGCTCCCGCTAAATCTCCTTCTTCTTCCTCTTCGTTCGCCATTGTTGGCTGGATTCTCTCTTCCCTTTCCTCTCTCTTTCTCTATCTCTTTGCGTGTTTAGTTCCGTTCTAAGCTTAGATTCTGGAGATCCGGGTTTCTTGTTCGGCAAAAGAAAGAAAAATCGGGTTGCCGATCTGTTGCCTATTTTCTGGGTGCAGTTGAAGTGTTTGATTGATTGTCCCTGAGAATGGATTTGGCTCGTAGCCACAGCCATGGCAGTCGCCGTGGTGTAAAGCCCAAGCCTAATTGCTTTTACGGGGTAGGGATTGCTTTGAATCCCGACGCCCTGTTGATAATCAAACTCCCTGATGCGCGGGTTCTGCGGATAATGTCCCGCTCCCTGTTCTTGGCTGTGGTTCTCCTCACTCTGGCCTCGTTTGGCTCGGTTATGAGAGGTTCGTTTAATGCTCCTAATGATTCTTATGATGTGGACTCTGATTGGGGTGATTTCTCCATGCTGCCCAGTCTTATCCATGATCTGTCTGATGAGGGCCTTCTCCGCAAGGGACACAAGGGCCTCATTGTGAGTTCTGGTTATGGTGATTTGGTTGAAGATATGGATTTGGAATTCTTAAACGAAAGAGAGATCGAATGGGTGATTGGATCCGGATCTGATCCGATGAAATCCATTCCGAATGAGTCGTTTGATTTCGCCATCGGATCAAGCTTCCGGAATGCAAGGTTCATTGATCGGGTTCTCAAGACCGGGGGGATTATGGTCATCCCGTTGAGCAATGACCCCTCCAACGAGCTCTTGCACCCAATAAACTATGGGATTGTGTACCTCAGGAGATTCGAGAGCACGATAGTGGCAATGAGGAAAAATGGCATTGCTCGGAATTCAAGAAAAGCCGAGACAATTTGTGGGACAACCATAGAGGCCAAGAGAGCAGCATTGAAAAACTTGGAGGATGCCCTGCTAGAACCACCTAGAGGGGCATTCATGAAATCGAGTATGAGGAAAATCAAGTTCCTCCCTGATTTATTGGGGGATTCGCTTGAGAATTACCCTCGAAGGGTTTTCATTTCTGATGACAAGGACGGTGCAGAGGAGTGGTTTCGCAAGAACTACCCTGTAAAGAATCAAATATTCGATTTTTACCGAATTAACATTGTGACTGCTGCTGGTTCCGAGGAAGAGGGTGTTGGGGCGTCTAATTGGTTGAGAAACACTGCAAAGGAAGAGGATTACGTTGTGATGAAGGCTGATGTGGAATTGGTGGAGGAGTTGGTGAGGAAGAAGACAATTTGCCTCATAGATGAGCTATTTTTGGAGTGCAAAAGCCAGTGGGATGAAGGTGGTGAAGAAGAAGAGAACCGGCCAAAGCAGAGGGCTTATTGGCAATGTTTGGAATTACACGGAAGGTTGAGAGAGGAGGGAGTTGCAGTTCATCAATGGTGGACTTGATCGCGCCTTTTTTTCTTTAGGATTTGAGAGTGCATTTAATTGGTGATTCACCTGTTTGCCACTCTCTCAATATCATCTTCTTATCTCGTGTAAGGTTGTGATTATATATAATTTGCTTGTTTTGAGCAAATTGTCGTTGAATATGTACCTGTTAATTGTTATAGACTCTTTTGTTGTTTGAGGTTTGTATTTGTGACAATTTCATCTTAGTTGACTCAGCGGGAGGAACTAATAAGAAAAAGTGTGTTGATTTCTTACTCACGTGTGTTCGTTTTGGGTTAATTCTAATTCTGGCAAAGCATTTTTCAATCTAATTACTTCTTAGATTTTTGAATTGAGGACCTAATAAGCATAGTATATGTTCAGGGTTTGAGTAGTGAATATCAAATAGATATTAATCTGGATAAAAAGTACTGTTTAAGGAACATGAACTTGATGAACAACTTATGTTACTGTCTCAGGTGTTTTCTACAACCAAAAGGGGAAAGTTAAATAGACAAATCTTTCGATACTTCATGCTTGAGACAACTTGAGAAGGATTTTTTTTCTCTCATGTATCCTCAGGAAATGGAATTTCTCCACCTTCTTGGTGCTTTTCTAGCAAGTTCTGGGTTTGCAACTGGAGTCCCCATATCTTGGTTCTCTAAATTTGTCGACTTCGTCAGCTTGCTCAGTTTCTTCCACCCTGCAGACCACGCCGAGGAGCCCTGTTTGGGTTTCGCCAGTTTATCGAATTGCCTTTGAAGACTCTCCATCTCGCGCTGGAGCTCCAAGTTCCTGGACTTGACAGTCTCTAGCTCAAACTTGAGGGTGTTGATATCCTTCTTTGCCGATGCCCATCCTTCCTGAAACGACTGCGGCGTCGCGTCAAGCAGCGTTTTGCGGTTGGATACCAAGGGCTGGTAGTGAGAGTCTCCCGAAGAATCTTTGAGGGCGTTATTGGCAATGGCGTTGCTTATCTTCACCTGCTCGGAGAAGAGGACCTGGACTACAATTCTGAGAGGGAGCCTCTCGTTCTGAGCTGCGTGCATGCACGCGTCAATGGAGAGTTTCTGGCAATCCATGACCCGGCACAGCCTCTTCCTCTCATGTTCTGACAGCGTCGGGTGAGCCTACAAATCAAGAAACATGAATGATCACATGATTTAAACAAACAGATCAACAATGAAGCTTTCCAAGCCTTTATACATGCTGGTTTTTCTTAACTTTTACCTTGAGATAGGAATCGATGGCTCGATAGAGGCCATCGTCGCAGGTTCTTGCAGACTCGGGCAAGGCCTCGGCTAGGACCTGAAATTTAGTCAGGGAGAGGTTTCTGTCCCTGGAAACTTCAGTGAGATAACTGTCAACAAGCCTAGCCACTCTCATCTTGGCGTTCAGATTCGTCCCCCTTTGACTCCCTCCATCGTGTAGAGTATTGTTGTGTTTGTTATTGCCATCAGAGAATGAATTCCTGCTGGGACTGCAACTCTCAGTCTGCTCCTGAACAAGGAAATGCTCCAAAACCCTCTGGACCAGGTCGACATCGTACAGAGTCTCCGCCTTGCTGTAAGAAGGAATGAGAAGATCCGGCAGAGCCGCCTGCTCAAACTGCATCCCCACCCTCTTCTCCAGCTCCGTGACCAGGGCGGGGGCCACTTTCAGCATGCTGGCCATCCTCAGGAGCCGCAGGAGGAAGCTGCAAGTCACGCTGTCCTTCTGCGGAGGTATTATGCTTATCAGGCTCTCAATGATCATTTTCTGGTCTTTGGTGGGAACAGGGTTCAGCGTGTCGTCCCTGGTTCCCGCCACGACCATGTAGAGTCCACCGCCTTTCCAGCTGCTGCTGGTGGTGGTTGTGGTGCTTCCTTCATCGGATCCCGCGGCGGCGTGGCCCTCCTTGATCAGTCCGGGGAGCCATTTGGCGGCGTAGTGCATCATCGAAGCGCCGATCAGCTCGTGCCTCATCCCTTTCACTTTGATCGCGGTGACGACTCTGACGAAGTGGTCGATCCTGAGAATGGAGACGTCCTCGAACCACCAATCGGGCGGGGCCTGGCTTCTGCTAGGGCTGGATTCCTTCAATTCGTTCCATTTAGGGCTGGAAGCCGCCGGAGGCTTCCCGGTGTACTGCCACCGGATCCCCTTGGGATTCGCGCTGGCCTTCCAGGCGATGGATTCGCTGCACCTCCGCACGATCTGGAGGTTCTCCGCCCAGGGCGACAGCTTCTCGCAGCTCTTCAGCACGACGATGGAGTCGCGCCACGAGGACAGGACGACGTAGCTGAGGAAGGCTTCGGTTTTGAAGATGAGGTTGCCCTCCTCCAAATCCTCCGTCATTTCGAGGTACTCCGCCGTGCATCTTAAGCCGGAGATGTTGGTGGCGGTCAGATCAACGGCGATTCCGTAGCAGAACTTGGCGGCTAGCTCGAAGGACTCGGGGCCGCCGGGAAGGTCGTCGAGGGTTATCTTGCTCAAATCAGCATTCCTGGAATCGTATATGATTCTGTTCAACTTCCCACTCCTTGAAACCAGAGGATACTGCACAACGACAACATTTTTTTTTTCCAAAAAAAAAGGTTGATTCACAAAATAATAAAGTCACAAATTTCATAGAGTTACTATTTGTGAATTTCAATTAACTAAATTATAGTCTAAAATAATTTTTGATTGAAAATTTAAATCATAAACAGTAAATTTGTGAAGTTTGTGATCATTTTGTTTGTAGACCGAATTTAAATATCAGGGTCTGTTTGGTACACAGAATTCACATAGTTGGAATTGAATTGGGAGTTGAAATTCTATGGAAGTCATTTGGATTGGAATTGATTTTTCCAATTTCAATTCATTTTTTGCACTATCAATTCTAAATTTAAATATTTTTGTGCTACCAAACAGCAGAATTAGAATTATTGTCTTCAAACGGAGCCTTAAAGTAATTATAAATTAGGTTTCTACTTAACATTAAAATAGTTTGTCTCATTTTGAACAATACACATTTTTGTCACAAACATGAAACTAGTTTGTTTTTTTTAAGATTTATTAAAATGAAATTTGATATTAGAAAATGCTTTTACACGCCTACAAAATATTCTTTGTGATAAAATAATACGGAGTATTTTGCTACACAGAGTGATCCATGAAAATGCTAATGTCATAGATACATTTTTTTTATAAACCATCAAATTCAATAGCGGTATTAAAAATATTTTTTAAAAGTTCGTAAAATACCATTTTTGATAAAAAAAAAAAAACTACTTTGTATTTTATCATGGATCTATTAATACTCCATGTGAGATTAAGATTCTAGAAATCTTAAAACTTACAATCCAATTTTGGGTATGCAATAAAAATTCATGTGAGTATAAATTATTTGTGCCAAAATGATATTTCATTTTTGTTAAAATTGAATAGTCATAAAAATGATTACGAATAAAAATTATACTACGTGGACATATATTTTTTGTGGTATAAACTTGACAAAACACTACCAACTACTCCCTTAGTCTCAAATTAAGTTCTTTGATTATTATTTACATGATTAAATTTTATTAATTTTTTTTCTTTATTTTTGTGAATCATTTCATAAAATAATATAATCATGTCACTGCTCGCTACTAGTTTTGTAGATCTTTTGATGTACTGGTTTTTAAATATGTGATTTTATTTTTTTAACTTTACATCTTGTTTCATATAAAATGATTTGAAAATAGCTCCAATCAATACTTGGAGTAGCTTGTAGTGTTTTTGTTCAATAAACTATTATCTCTGTCCCACAATCTTTGTCACTGTTACTATTACAGTCTCTCAATAATTTTTTATTGTTTGTATATTTTCATTGTTCATGTGATAAACTAAAATATTCTTATCACATTTTGTTTTGTAGAACTGGAGTAATTTTTATTTCTGTGCCAATTGGTAAATAAAATGGTTTTAAAACTGATTGGATTTTATACCTTGTTCGAAGAGTGACAAACATTGTGAGAGGGAGAAAATATAATTGTGAGTACTTTGATCAATTTCACAAGATAGAATATGTTTAAATTTAATTTTACATGTGAATAGTAAAAAAAAATAGATTAAAAAATGAAAAAAAGGTGGTTAATTATGAGGGAAGTGGGATTTAAGTAAAGATACCTTGTGCAAATAGAAACTGGCATCTCCAATTTGAACTAAGAGATCACTTGGGACATCAGTTGCAACATACCTACACAAGAATTGAAGATGCCAAAATTCATATATTTGTCTCACACAAAATTATCTAAATAGTACTGTCCCATTATTTTTGAACATGGAGGAGTAACAAGTAAATGAACAAAAGTAAATTTGAAGTTTAAAGTTTGTTCAATTTGATTCGAAAAAGTCAAATTAGACAAATACACTGAGACAGAAAAAATAAATTTATATTATAAGTGAATGTACTTTTCTCATAATTTGTTGTCAAAAACTGTCACTGTTTGACAAAAAAGTCAAAACATCGGAGAGTTTTCAGGGACGGAGGGAGTACATACCAAGATTCACCTCTTTGCTCAAAACCATCACTCTTGACACCAGGCCTGGCGGCGGCGGCGGCGAGAACTCCATCTCCGGCGGCGGCGGCGCCATAGTCACCGCCGCTGACGGACTCAATCTCCGATTCCCACATTGTAAAGCAGCTACCAGAACCTTCTTAACTATAAGGTTCCCCAAGAAAATTGAAGTTTGAATAGTGAATGGCTGGGGGTGTGTTTTATACCAAGATGGAAGAAAGGTCTAGATAGTCCAAAGTAGTATAAGAGCTGGTGGGTAAGAAGCAAGCAATATAATGATGACTTGCATATATTGCTTCTCATTTGATTAAAAAAAAACTGTACTTTTGTTACCTCTTCTTTTGTAGAATTTTAACGTAGTTTTTAAAATTATAAATTTTATTTTTCTAATTTCATACCAATTTTCAAAAAAAAATTATTTGAAGATAACTTCGGTCAAACTTAATTAGTAAACAACAAGAGACGATTTAAATTGCCAGGAGGGAGTATATGGCTGTGACAGGCTGTGGCATCATGGGCACACCAAACACTCCCTACTGCGGTTCTAACCCATTTCCCTGATTATACCCTGAAATTCCTTTTTTTTTCTTTTCTAAATTATATCTCCATATTCTTTTTTATTTTCTTTGAATAAATAAAAAGAAAAGAGAGGCTATATATGCAAGCTGAAAAACACTGTGGATTTTAGTTAGGAACAAAGAGAGTATTATTGGTTGGAGCATGTGGGCTGTGGACATGTCATGTTAATGATATCCCTGCTGGAACATGCTCTGCAGATTTATTAGTTCCAGAATTTAAGTTTTTTTTCACGGAGTTTAAGAAAAAGTAAAATTGTATAATGAAAATCTATGCCGAAGAAAGTGGTAGGGTGAATCTCTTATTCCTTTCTCTTGATAATGAGAACTTTTTTCGGGTAATGTTGAAAGAGGTTCTCAGAAAGTTTTTAGCATAGGATTTTTTTGGGTCACATACAGTTCTGATCTATTCTAGCATAATGATTTCTGGCGCAAAAAAAAGGATAATACTAGAGTTAAAGAGAGACAATGCAGGAGTCTCCCGTCGTGTCGTGCCGAGCCACCACGCCAGTGGTGGCGCCGTGGCGGTGCGCGTAGGAAGTTTGAATAAATTTGCAAACACTGAAAACATGGCAATAATTTTCTTCCAAGAAACGACATTTTTCATCCAAGTTTGTGTAAAATTGCACACCTATGTGTTTGAGTAAAAAAACAAAAGAGTTGGAACAAATTTGGAGGTTCCAAATCATTTTCTTCTCTGCTAACTAACCATGGTTGGATTAGCTAGCATTGTGTGTGTAGGTCCATTATTGACTTATCAAAAGACACATTTCTGCAGTCCACTGTTGTGTATGGATAGATGGGTTAAGGCATAATGCAAATCCCCACTTCATTTCTTGATTGTGCCCATCTTTTCACTAATGATGATTTAAAAAAATTAACTAGTCAATAAGGGTGTAAAAGGAGATAATACTCGGATTCGATTCCCGTCAACGGTAATAAAAGATTACCATGTGTCACACGGGTTTTTGCACGTACTAAAGACATCTTTTCATTTCTCATTTCCATTCTTATAATTTTTTGGGAACCAAATGGGTCATACGAGTTTGAGAGAATGAATTATAAGACAAATGATTGATTGGGTGATAGTGTTTGGACCTACACATGTGAAAGCCACTTTCAGTGCTGGCAAACTTTAGTGATAGGAAATTAGAAATGTGAAATACCCAATCATTTTCAGTCACTACACAATGCACGTGAAAATTAGAGGGTTGGAATTTTATTTAGAAATATTTGCACTAAATAGCACTAAAACTTAAGTTATTTCTCTAAATAACACTTAAATTGTTTTATTTTATAAATAGCACTTAATAATGTCCATAATATCCAGTGATAGTGAATATTTACTTGAATAATGACTAATGCATAATGACTAAAAGTACTACATTGAGAAAAAAACACATATGGTGTTATTTAGGGAAAATCATTATGTTTTAGTGCTATTTAAGTAAATTCCTCTTTTATTTACCACAAAATTTGGAAAATTAACTGAGTAAAATGACTAGTGATGAGACAAATTCTGTGAAATTGTTAAGCACAAACTACAAATTATCTGAGTTTATGCCAAATTATAATTCTTACAATACTTGAGAAATCACACTTCCACTTATTTCACTTTAGAAACTAGTGAAATTGTACGATGAAAATTTACGCAAGTTCTTTTAGGGACGGAGGGAGTATTACGGTACCAAGAGAACAAAATTACATGAACCAAACAAGGTTCTGATACATCACTTGTTTACATAAAACCTAGGAAATGAATGTTACATTTGATGAGCCAAACACCCCCTAAGTTATGTCATTATAAGACACGGAAATCGAGCGTGAAAAACCAAACCATACCGGTAAGCTCAATCAAAACTAGGGTCGGGGGAGGAATGCTTCGGCTACAAGTTGTCGGGGAACTTCTCGAGAATAATGTTACGAAAATTCTCAGCTTTCTCATCCAGCCCAATATTTGAATATGCATCTACCAGTCTATTGCAGCTTGACCTATCAAGTTCCAAGCCACATGACTTCTTCCATTGACCCACAATTTCCCTCACCTCTCTAATGTGCCCAAGCATCAGATATGATGAAATGATGCACAAGTAGTTTCTACTTATCATTTTCTGTTTCGTCATCGTCAAAGATTTCCAAACCTGGTCAAGTTGTTTTTTATCCCCAAGCCCCCCATATAGAATGATCAAGAAATCGTAAGTTATCCACTCCCTTTGTGTAATACCCTTCTCGGTCTCAACCAGAGAGTTGGCTTCCGAGTTCAAAAGGTGGCCCGTTGAGATATATATGTTCACAAGATCTGCATATCTCTGCCAACACTCATTAGATCCGTGGTCCAAGTTCATTTCATCAAGAATCTGTCTAACTTCGTCAATCTTGAGAGACGCGGCACATGAACTGATCCACAAATTGTAAGTAAATATATCCGGCAAAACATTTAGGGATTTCAGCTCTTGGATGAGCAGAGGTATCTTCTCTAGCTGCCCAACAGACATGTAAAGAGTCAGTAGCTCATTGTAAGTGAGGGTACTGAGTGAAATGTTTTCTTTCTTCATTCTCTCATGGAGTTCCTCGGCCTTATCGGTTAGTTTTGAGCTTGCAAATGCGTGGAGGAGGGCAGTGTATGTTTCTGTGGTTTTCGCAGTTTGTGGAAGAGCTTCGAAGTATCTCTCTGCTGCATCGATACCAAAAACTTTGGCAATCAAGTCAATGCGAATTGCATAGTCAGTGTCTAATATCTCATTATCATTGTTAGAGACCATCCACTCTGATATCTGCAAAAATATGCATCGCAAATCAGTACTTGTAATCTCCTGGGAAAAACCTATCAACTTCATAGTAGGGATAAGGTATGCGTACACACACCCACCCTAGACCCTATTTTTCTGGGATTCTACTAGGTTTGTTGTTGTCATCCTTGTAAATCAATACTTGTGATGAAGACAAAAATTTGATCGCCAGTTACGGGTAAATCAATACTCGTGACTTTATTATCCTAAAAATCAACAACACAACTTTATTTTCTTGAACACGGTGTAAATTAAAGTAGGATAATAAATAAACAACACTATTAAACGTACGGAGTAATTTGCAAGAACTTATTGTGAGCAGGGTTTTAGAGAAGGGTGATGCAAGCAAACTTTACTCGCATTTTTGCAAAAGGTGCTTAAAAGCTTGAACCCATGAACTCAAGGTTACTCGCGGCGAATTATTACTAGCACTTAAATTCAGTCCATTATACCCTCTAAGATAATGAGAGCTAAACTGCAATTGATCAATACTAAGCTAAAACGTCTTTGTTATGCATCAAGAAGCAGTTAAGCACCATTTTTGTTTCTAGATCATAAGAGCAATGCATCCACTTGCAAGTTGCAACGCAAACAATTTCTGGGAACTTAAAAACAAATTCAATTCCCTCTTTGCACACCTAATATGTCAATGGCATGTTTGGGAGCTCGAATTTGGATTTCAAATCCAAATTTGGCTCAAGTTACATGTTTGGGAATCTTAAAATTTGGATTTGGAATTGAGACAAGGAAGGAAACTTTAATAAATAAAATGACTAAGAAACGAAGGAACCAACCTCGAGGGCATGCTTGTAACGGCGGGACTGGCGGAGATCTCTGGAGATGTGGCGGAGGTCGGAGGCGGTGACACATCTCCCTTCGCCCAGCCATCTCTGAATGACGTGCGTGGCGCTTCTTTTGGGCAGTCTCAGCCTAAAGATTCTAGCTTTCAAATCGTCGACTCCTTCTTCTTCCTCCTCATCTCCTCCTCCGCCGTCTAAATCCTTCTCCGCAACCGCCCGGTCCGGAGAATCGTCGCAGATGATTTCGATGGTAGTTGTAGACGAGAAGGATCTGAAGATCCCTCTCTCTCCGACTCGAGCATTTCTGTATAGATTTTCAAAAAAAGAAAAAAGAAAAAAGGAAAGCCGGGAAGTGAGTCGAAGAAAGAAAGCCGTGGAGATATGGAAGAAGGGGATTTTACCGAGTGAGAGCGGCCAGAACGGAGCGAGCAGCACCAGCCGCCATTGGGATGCGGAGAAGACGATAAGAGTTTCTGGAATTTTGAATCTTTAATTACTAAAATGAAAAAAAAAGAGACAAAAATGGAAAATTAAGGAGAAATAGGAAAAATATAATGTCAGAAGTGGGATTTGAACCCACGCTCTCTCACGAGAACCAGAACTTGAGTCTGGCGCCTTAGACCACTCGGCCATCCTGACCTGTTGCTGAATGTTTCAACTAAGTTCAAAATGAAGTAGAAGTTTAAATACCATTGATGTAATAAGACTATACGAGTAAAATTGGGTTTCACGTCACACTGCCATTGTACATTCCATTCAGAATTATTCAGTGTTAATATGGTCGCGCTAAATGTTTCGGATTATAATGTTTGATTGAAATAATTTTTTATTTAAAATATTTACAATTTAGAGTAAAAATTAAAAAAATAAAATTTATGTATTTAAATACAGAGTCTCTTCTTAAGTCTTGTTTAAATTGTTTTATTTTATTGTAGTAGAAAACTCTAGTTCTATCATACCAATTACAGGATTGAGTTGCAGAGTTCTCCCTGATGCAAAAGATATTTCTTTTCTTTCGATCATTCATTGATGATAAAGAACCGTTTCTTGATAGACCGCCAATTGAATTTGAAATTATGCAATAAGTCATAGTTGTCGCTTGGAGACCAATGATGGGCTTGTGTATTAAACAAGGTGCATATATATAAGGTTTGTTTTTCTTCCACTTTTAACATGCGGAGGCCAAAAGAATTCTAAATGAAGGTTTTTGTCCTTTTGCAACTCTACATTACTCAGCAATCTCATTACTTCATATGTGGTTTCATCATGTACAAGTTTTCTCATGATGCCTTCCGTAATGTGAAGTTCTGTGCCAACAAGAATAAGATCAGAGGAGACCTACGTCCTAACGGAGTGGGGATCAACAAGGGATCGGGCGACATGATCTGTGAGGTTGTTGGTGCAAGATTGTGGGCTTAAATTAGAAACACATAAGCACTATAGGGGATGTAATGAAATTGTGCGATCTTGGTTTTAGGGGACGAAATTGTTACTACTTACTACATTCATCCCAGTGTATTTGTTCAGTTTGACTTTTTTGAGTCAAAGTGGATAAATTTTGAACTCCAATTACTCTCAATTTATATTGCATATTAGCATAATGAAATACAATTTTGAAAGTTCTCAATGCGATAAATATAATAATGTCATTTTTATGTTAAAATACATTACAGTTTTATTTAATTGAAGCTCAAATTTTGTCCAGTTTAACTCAAAAAAGTCAAACTGAACAAATACACTGGGACGGAGGGAATATTAGAGTAATAGGCAAGAGAATTAATGGGTGGTAGACAAGGTTATTAAGATATACCAAGTATACGAGAATAATAAATTAGGTGGGAGGTAAAATAGATATTTTGGACATTTAAGTCATACTAACAACAAAAAGTGGAAAAAAACACTTGGACGACCTAAAAAAGAAAATGAACAAAAACACTGGGACAAAGAGGGTACCATATACTTCGTAGTTCATAGTATCTATCTATACACGTGGTAAAAGTATACTTGTTACATCTTTATATCTATCCTCCAAACATTTCTCGATTCAATGTTCTTGCTCCATTAAACATCATCATTGAGCTAACTGAGGAAGAAGCCAATTAAGCTAACTAGATCCAATGGCTACGTGGCTACAAAGTACAAGTACTAGCTAGTTGTTAAGCTAAGCCTTCCAATATCTATTGTACCGAGAAGAGAATATCGCGCCATTGCACGAAAGAGATCTCATCCTCCTTGACTCGTTCATCACCGCCGAAAAAGATGAAGATGAACAAGAACAAGAATAAGATCTCTTCATACGAACACAAAAGTCCATTGAAGCTGATCTTCTAATCATAATAATCCTCCCACTTCCTCCTTCATTCATATGGATGACTTCATAATTTCCAACAACACCACCTCTATCCCCTTCTAAGTCTTCATCATGACCAAGAACCATCTCCTCTTCTCTTCTGCTACTATTATCACTAATATTGTTCTCCTCTTGATGATCATCGTGATGATGAATAGCTTCTTGCTGCTGATGGTGATGGTGATGATGAACTGCAACAATGGCGGAGCGACAAATGGGACAATTGGTGTGGGATCTAAGCCACGTGTCGATACAATTCACGTGAAAGGTGTGGTGGCACTTGGGCAAAATCCTCACCATTTCTCCTTCAAATTCACTCAAACACACACTGCAACACTCTTTCAGCCCTTCTCTTCTCTCGTACCTGCAATTCCAATATATACTCCACATTAGTAAAAAGGGTAAGTAGTGTATACTTCTGTGTTCCGTTCGCTTGATCTGATCCGATTTAATCTGATTATAGGTATATTTAAAGTTGTTTTGTATCTGATCTGATCTTATTTTAATAAAAATAATTAATAATAAACTGAAAAAAATATATTGTATGGAACAGACCCTTACATCCCTTTTTTATATTAAAGTTGACATTATGTGTCGAACATATTTACATAGACAATGATTGTTTGTGTATATATTTGTAAGTTGAACATATTAACATATATATAGACACGGCTCGGTTTCATGGCCATTGGAATCCAGTGGCCATGGAACCGAGCCGATATAGACAATGATTGCATGTGTATATTTGTGAAAACACACTGTATCAAATTTTGGAGTAAAATTTGATATGGGGTGTGAACCGTGTGAACATATGTCATTTTTCAATGTAGTACTTAAAAAAATTTTATTCTCTAAATAGTAATTGAATAACATCTAGTGGCAGGAACAATGTCCAGTGACGGTGGACATTTACTTGAACAATAAAAGGTGGACAATGAGCACTAGTACTACATATATTGAGAAATAAAAACATACTCAATATGATAATCAAATGCTCCAAGATTATGAATTCTGATTACACATCCATTAATTTAAGCGTACCTGCAAACAGTGATCCGGTTGATTATAGATGACCCAAGACCGGCGGTTCTGATATACCATATCGGATGCTCCACCACCGTATCGCCCAACCTTTCTACGCCGCCGTCTTCTTCTTCCTCCTCCTCCGCTGGCGGTGTTCTTGAACCGCCGCCACCAGCGCTACTCTTCACAATTGCGTAGTACACCAGGAAGAAAGTAATTGCGGCAACGGCGGCGAGAATGGAGAGAAAGACGGGGCCCCGAAAGTGGCTTGCGGTATGCACGGCGGAGGAGGCGGCGAAGTCCGGCGGCGGTGGAAGCGGGAGGAGGGGCGGACGTCGAGGCAAGAGTAAGGTCTGCTTGCAAGTGGAGAAACAGAGAGGAAGACAGAGTAATGGGCAGAGGCCGTCGTAGTTCCTGCTCGGGTCGCAGAATTTAGTGCACTGCTTTTCGCCGGCCGGAATCGGGTCGGGCCTTGTCAGCTGCAGCTTCCTTCGCCGGGAACCCATCTCTATCTCCGGCCACGGCGGCAAAACCTACAGAGGGTGGAGATTAATAAAGGAGAAGTAATTTTCGGTGCCGTTAAAATTAACGGTTTATGAGAACGGCGGAAGGGAGTAAATGCGGGGGAGTGAGGGGAGAGTTGTAGGTGGGGGGATGCACGGACGGACGTTTGCTTTCGTTATCTCAAAACCAAACGGGTGGCCGTTAGTAGCTACCCAACAACTATTTATTGCCACTTCGTACGCACTCTAAATTAAATATCTCCCTCTTAAAAAAGCTATATTTATCTATACCTTTTTTAATATACGAATAACTTCATACTTTTCTCTACGTAATAATTTATTTATCATATCTTTTTTTACTCGTTAGATCAAGTACAAAATGAAAAAAAACTATAATTTTACATGTCTTTATTTTGACACTTGATCAATATAGTAGAAAGTGTTTTCAAGAACGGGAGTAAGTGTCTAATACATCAAAATAAAAAATAAACATGCAACAAGCTACATAGATAATTCTTTTTAGAGTAAATTCCATAATTAATCCTTTATAATAAGAAAATTTTCATATTTAATCCTCTATTATCAAATATTACCCCAATAATCTTCTTTTTATGAATACTTTTCAAAATATCCCCTTTTTTTGTGAAAGATACTAGGGGAGGGGAAATTTATCCACATAGACTTTTCTCACATTTTTTTATTTTAAAAATATTTACTTTAATACTTAAAAATGCTTATTTAACACATATAAAAATTCACCATTGACCTTAAGTCCATGCAATAATTTACTCATTATGTTATGACTAACGATGTCCCCGAAATCAAATTTGAATATGAACGGATATTAATTTAAAATGAGTCCAAATTAAAGATGAAAAAAAAATCAAAATTTCATTACAACTATTATCTGGGTTTAGAAGACAAGCTAAGTTTAGTACTCCAATGATGAAACAAAATAAAAATAAAAACCAGCCAACTTGAAAGCAATCCACACCATATAGGATTTGAACTCATCAAATCTTCTTCACTTAACACTTATAATCAAAAGAATTGGAAATAAAGAATGAGAATGCATGTGGATAAACCACCATTTGAAGGATTATAGTATTCCCTAATTGGGGGGGGGGGGCTAAATAAATTTAAAAAAAAGAAAAAATGATCAGTAAAGGCCCAAGAATTTCCACCAGAAAATGCCCACAACTCCCCATATGATTGCATTGATGATTGCCATTATGAATCCAACTTTGAACACATCAGGAAGATCCACATACCCAGCTGTTTTTTTTGTCCCAGGAAGAAACAATTGAAGAGGCATCAGAAAGCATATAATAATAATCATAATAATAATAATAATTATAAATATTGAAATGAATCCAAGAATTAATGCTTTTTATCATTATATTTTTTCGATATGAGCTAGCTTAACAAGTGCGCGCCGTTCTTTTTTAACTGACTAACATAACTTTTGTGATACATTAGAAGTTAGAATGAATACGCATATATACATTCATTCATTTTCCTAATGTATCAAAAAAAGCCATAATGAGCAATTTAAAAAAACGAGCAAATAATAAATGTGTATTATTAATGCTTTTTTTTCTCACTTACAAATTGGCTTGACGCGTATTAAGGGAAATAATAAACGTGTATTAACCTTCCCAAAATGCCCTTGAAAAAGGTAATGAGGATGGGTAGAAAAAATGGATGGAACAAATAATTGTATAGTCTTTTTAGTTGTTTTATGTATGCCAAATATGGAAGTGTGACTTTAATTTTGAGACATCCACAATGGAGAGTATACTTATATATTTACACACTTTGTGTTAGTTTATAAGTCAAATAAATTAGTCTTGACAACAAACAAACAAACAAATTCTTTTGATATATATTTAAGGGATCCAATTAACTTCTTTAAGGATATTGCAAAAACCAAAAGCCATCAAAAAAATAAAACCATACCTCCAAAGTAAACAGCAGCTTGGCCGCTGCTATAATGCGTCAAAGCGCCGAAAAGGTTAGTATTATAAGCCAAACCCAGTGCTGCTAAAACCCTGGGCACACCAGCGGCCAGATTCATGGCAAGAAATGCAGAGTACAATGCCCCAACATGGCCAGTTTGGCTTGCAAACAGGTAGTGGATGCAGAAGTAAGAGGCTTGGAGCACGGCAAATGCCGCGGGCCAGCTCAAGGCCAGAGACTGGAGGGACTTGGCCACCGAGTTGGACATCCAAGAGACAATGCCAAGGTCTGTCAGCTGGCCTGCCATGCCGACTAGGACTGCAAACCATGATAGGGTATCCCATGCTGACTTTTCGCTCAGGCAGTCGTCCCAATCAAGGACTCCTGTTAGAAGTAGGATGGATAGCCCTAGCATTGCAGCGGTGACACTCGATATTCCAATGGCATCCCTGAGAGGATTCAAAATTAATATAAAATGATGTAACATCACCAACTGTAAAAAAGAATTACGCGATTCAAAGAAATGAAAAGTTTGGACCTACCCAAAAACCCACAAAGAGACAGCAAGAAGCATCGTTCCGATCATCGCCCATTCATTTTTGGTAACGGGACCCATAAGATCCAACTTTTTGGCTGCAAGTGCTGGGGCATCGGGCGTATCTTTGATTTCAGGAGGACATAACTTGTACAGAACAAACGGAGTAGCCAATAGGGAAACGAAAGCCGGCAAACTGGCAGCCTTGAACCAAGAAATCCATGGGTTTGCTACCACCACACCAAGCCCCTCAGCTAACTTGAGGCATAGTAAGTTTTGTGCAGCAGCAGTCAAGAAAAGAGCACTGGAGTGTGCAGAAGACTGACACCATCACATAATAAGTTAGAGGCCTAAGTCACACAATGCACTATTATTGTACAAAACAATAATACCCTTTCTGCAATGCTGCATTTACTACCCAAAACTTCATAAAAACTCTATACAAAGTAAGAAGCAAATGATGTTTAACATGTCATTTTGAGTCAGTCCACTCTTTACCCAAAACTAAAGCATCATCAAGAATGAGTATTTGAAGCTCTATTTAGCTCCATTCTCAACGGGTCTATAAAAACAAGCACAACAAGAATCATTAAAAAAACAGTAACAAAATCTAACCTGGAATTGAGATTGGACCAGATAAGATCCCAGCTTCTTTGCAGAAGGATCCCCTGGCTTGCTCCCTGATGACAGGGAAAGAGATTTAATAATGGGCAAGAAAACCCCACCAGCCCTGGCGGTGGTGCTGGGCATTGCCGGAGCAATCAATGCCTCACTGAGAGTCAATCCATAGGACAATCCGAGAGTACTCTTCCCCAACCACTTAACAAAGTAAGTGGCAACTCGGTCACCCAGCCCGGTCTTCACGAATCCACGGGCAAAGAAGAAGGAGATGACAATGAGCCAGATGACCTCATTAGTAAAAGCTCCAAAAGCCGAGGAGAAAGATAGGGTTTTCGTGAGAATTGAGGTTGTGAGTCCGAGGAAAGCCCAAGCTCCAACTGGCAAAGGGCTGAGGACGAGGCCGGCTATGGTGGAGAGGAAGATGGCCAGCAATTGCCACGCCTGCGGGGAGACATCGGCAGGTTTGGGGACTGCGAAGCGGAGGAGAAGTCCAATTGAGAGGGAAATCACCAAAGGAACGATCTTTGCGCCTTGGGGTTTAGGGATTTGGACAGTGGAGATCTTGCCGCCGGAGGCGGAAGCTCGGGCGATAAGCGGCGGAGGTTTCGAGAAGGGTTGGGAGAGTGGGTTGAAGTGGAGGAAAGGTTTTGGATTGTGAAGGGCGATCCTTGGGGAGGTGATGCGGCGGCGGAGGGCAGCGGTTGTAGAGATGGGGGTTAAGGATGTCATGCATTGCACGGAGGAGCGTGAACGGAGACGCGGGAAGGAGAGGCTGGAGAAGGAAATGGCGGCTCCGCCGGCGGCTGCACATGGAGAGCGGAGTGCCAAACTCTCCATTTCTTTTTCCCTTTTCTTCTTTCTCTATTCGGTGAGAACTAAAAAGTGGCGGAAAGAACAAAGTGTACACAGTACAAGCATGTACAGAATGTGGAACTGACATTTTACTTTTGGTGTACTCCAAATATCCCCCACCTCCTCCTTGTCCACTAAAAAATGCAAAAAATTCAAAAATAAATAAGTAAATAAAAATCAAATAAAAATGTATGGAGGAAAACAGGGTGGTGTACCCCTAGCATTACTCTTTTCTCAATCATCAGTCATATGTATTTGTGTCAAAAGTAAGACCATTCAAAAAATGATACGATCTGTTTTTTATCCGAAATTTGATTAGAAAATACTGGCTTTTTAACAAAGATTTTGATGATCGAAACCGAAATGCCCCGCTAAAAATGGGTCAAACCTGACCGAACCTGAACCCAACCTGACCGACCCGCTAAAGTAAGAATTTTTTAAAACACCAAGGCGGGCAATGTCATGGGATGACCCGGGGGCGCTCTGGTGTCCCGTACGTAAAATTGACGGTTCATACCCCCTGATAAACCCCCCACCCCGCCCCGACCCGAACACACCCCCGGGGGGTTATGAGGGGTAGGAACCGTTAATTTTACGAATGGGGTGCAATTGACGGGGGTAGGGGGTGTGTTCGGGTCGGGGCGGGACGGGGGTTTACCGGGGTTATGGGGGTATGAACCGTCAATTTTACGAACGGGACATTGGAGCGCCCTCGGGTCATCACATAACATTGGGTTCCAATGTCTTGGGAACCCCACCCTTTTTAAAATCATACATTATACTACTCATTTTTAGTGTATAAATTTATATTTTCAAACAAAATTTTAATGATATTGCATAATTATGTTACTTTTTTCTCAAAACTTAAGCATTTTTTAAATTCCTTATAATGATTTATATATCAAAAAATTACTTCAGAATTTAAAATAAAATAATCTAATATATTTAATACATTTATTTTGATATTTTAAATTTATTTAATAGAAAATATAAGTGTTAATTTAAAAATTTAAAAAACCAAAGTCATAACCCGTTGGGTCAACCCGAACCCGATGATACTAGATCATGAACATACAATTCTCAACCCGAACCTGAATTGACCTGAACCCGAAATAACCCAAACGCGAAGTAACCGAACCCGAACCTGACCGACCGATTTTTTTCCTTTTTTTTTTTGAAAAATTGGATGAAAAATATTGGAGCATGCTACATGTGTTTCAAAATTTGTACCTCATTTGTACACCAAAGTATGTACCAATATTTTGATGATTCACACTGACACAAAGTGTTGATGCGTTAACAAAAATTTACACTGACACAAAGTGTTGATGCGTTAACAAAAATTTACACTGACACAAAGTGTTGATGTTTTAACAAAAATTAGCATTACACCAACACGTGCATCCATGCAGTGTACAAAATCCTCCTATATACAATGCTAGGTGCAATTCGTGAAAAGTGTTCCCGCCAAAAGTGAGGTGTAGTTGGTTCGGGTTTGGGCCTGCTTGGTGGATGGATATGGGCTTGCATTGGTGGACGTGTTTTAGCTTTTCTACACATCAAATTTGCTTTTTGTTTTATGTCTATTCAATTGCCATCTTCCACAAAATTGCATTGGTAACCATGATTTAGTGGCTCGATAGAGTAGATTTTAAAAAAACTTATTTTGTATCAAATCCATCAATTTTAAAGATTTTTAATATCTAAAGCATTTAATGAATACTTAAAGAAATCATGGAGCATGTATTATAAATACTCTAGCATTATGATGTAAACTTCATTCCTTACAAATTCACTTCTCAAACATCCCAAAAAAATCATCAAATGTCTCAAATGTCTTCCTTAAGCAAATGGTCTCCCGTTGCCGAGCTTGACAACACTCGAAGGAATTTGATGTTCAAGTTACGGGCCGGGCGTGGGTATTTTGTTCCTGTTTGGACCAAAGGCGGTGATTCAATGGAGATCATTTTTTACGATGAACATGTATGATATTCTCAATTTTTTGTGCTTAATCATAATTTATCTAATGACTTTTTCTAATCTAAACTCTTTTTCTTTGTATAGGGCACGAGGATTCACGCACATCTCAAAAAACCAAAAGAAACATTTTGAGAATCAAATTGTGGAAAATGGTGTTTATGGAATTCGGGAGGTCTTTGTTCATGACCTCATATATATATATATATATATATATATATATATATATATATATATATATATATATATATATATATATATATATATATCTATGTGTGTAGAGGTATATATAATATAAATAATACTTAATTGAGTAAAAAAATGTTATATTCCATCCACAGAAATAGGTTTATAAAATTACAAAATTTTATAATCTTATCTGTCAAAAAAAATATTTACGGTTTGTTCACTTTGTTGTAAAATATCATAACATTTAAGACACTTACTTTTTAGTTGCCCAAGGAATATACACACGGTTAATTGGGTTTGAGAGTACACTTGCATTTAATACATCTACTTTTTGTTGGCTCAAGAAAAAGATTAAACATATATATATATATATATATATATATATATATATATATATATATATATATATATATATATATATATATATATATATATATATATATATATATATATATATATATATTCCTATTGAAAAGATTAAAAAATATATAGAAATTTGTGAAAAGTATAGAATGAACCAAGCAACAGCAAACTGAAAATTGTATTAAATAGAAAAAAATCAGAAATATTAGTTTGTCAAATGTTGGTATATGGATATTATTTATTAATATAAATAATATTTAATTGCATAAAAAATGTTATATTCTATCCACAGAAATTGGTTTATAAAATTACAAAATTTTATAATCTTATTTGTCCAAAAAAAATATTTACGGTTTGTTGTAAAATATCTTAACATTCCATCTACTTTTTGTTGGCTCAATACATACATACATACATACATACATACATACATACATACATATATACATACATACATACACGCTAGAACATGTTCAAACTCATTACTTGAACATGTAACAAACAGGTTCAATGACTTTGTCATTATTTTAATCTACACTCCCATTTATTTGGTCAGAACAATAGATGTAAAATCATGACTTTTAAATGCAACATGTCACGAATAAATTTTTGAAAACAAGGAAATATAAACCTGATGCTGGAATTACAACAAAACTGCCTATCGAAATCAATGTAAATATGATGTTAAGAAATTATTGTAATTTATGAATTAAACAAGACATTATAAGCATTTACAAGTAGTAAATGAGAATTAGAATTTTTCCTTCAATAAAACATCAAAATTTAGGCTCGAAATTTAACGTACCAGTATTTAGAAATTAATCTTATTATGATCAAATAAATAAATATTTTTACGAATGAACATGCCTTTAGAACAAGGCATGAAGGAGAAAATTCATATTCTCTTCATGATTTACCGTAATTTTAAAAGATGATTTAAACTTATAAAGCAAAAACTTATTATTAATCATTTACAAAAATACACATGCATGGTTGTTTTAAACAGATCTAAAATATTCAAGGGTTCTAAAGTTTTAAAAAAAGGCTTTCAAATTTAGAAATCATTTAGAAATAAACAGATCTAACAAAAATTCAAACCTTAATGAATGGGAGTATCAACTGAGGAAAAAATTGATATTAATGAACAATGAAATAAAGATACCGGTGAAGACCACGATGACAACTCGGCGATGACATCCTCTATCTCTCGGAGCCCTCTCTCTGTCTCTCTCTCACGACTCTATCACTCTCTCTCTCCATCTAACATCTGGAAGTACTCTTTCTCTCTGAGTGTGTGTCTCACTTCCTCCCACAGTCTGTCTCTCTCTCCTTACTTCCATCGTCGGCGTTCTCAAAGAGACGAAAACGGAAGATCCAGAGACTTCGAACTGAGAGCGGCGTGTTTGTGTGGCCAACCGTTAGGGTAGAGATAGATATTTTAATAGTTATTGGGCTGCGTAGGTTTGGTTTTAATTGAAATGAGTAAATTGGGCTTCTCTATCCTTGGGTGTAGGTTTTTAAATTTGGAAGAACACAAAAAATTTAAAAAATAATGGTCCATGGTTTTTATAGAAAATAAAATTTGTTATTACTAAAACAGCCTTTCTAAACCAATTAAAGGATTCGGATTTTAAATTGCTTTTACAAATAAAAATTTATATTTAAGTTAGTTTATGTGTTGCATAATTAAAACAGAAATTGGCAGTTGGTTGACCCCATGTTACAAGTGCAAGACTATTCAAGACTCAGATTTTATGGAAGATTATTGGAAATGTTTTGTCGTATGTGGTTATCTTACATGCTTACAAATTCGTGACGTGGGATGAGGATTATTTTTCGTTTGCGATCATTGTGTGATTCCGGCACCACTTATACCCACACCACCTTTACTACGACGATCTAAACGAGTTAAAATTCCAAACAAAAAGTATTTCAATGATCTTTATGTCCTTGGTTAAGATTATCAATATTTTCGTAAGATATTTAATGTTGCCACTTTTGTATTGTATGATTCTCTAATGTCGGAAGAAATTAAAAAGCTCTTCGTATGTAATATATCTGACATGCTTTTTGGAACAATGCTAAGGATGTAACTATTTGTATGTCTATTATGATTATGACCAAGATTAGTTTTTGTTATGAAATTACAAATTCCGAACACTACCTATCTTTTAAACATCATTCTGTTTTACTACTCTATTCTTTCTTATTTTTAGCTATTTAAGTGAAATATTATGGTTTTCAGTCATGGTCAGCCCTATGTTGCGATTTCACGTGTTACAAGTCGCGAGGGGTTAAAGATCTTGATTTGCAATAAAGACATTCCGTCAACAAACAAAACTACGAATGTAGTTTATAAAGAAGTGTTTCAAAACTTATAACACTTCATATCGACTACGGTCCTTACTGTACAATACCTTATTTTGGGCAATTTTAATAAAATTTGTAATTTTTAAATTTTTGTAACATTTTTTTATTCCAATCCATGATTAAATTTAAGTTATTTTGCTGCCCGTGCATCGCACGGGTACGAGTCTAGTAGAATACAAATTCTTGAGGTATCATTATCCAAAAATATTAGGCCTTTTAATGGGGAGGGGGATCCGCTGCGCCGCAAACCTCCCCACGCCGTGCCGCGCCTGTCGGCCGTTGCAAGAGGAGGGCCGCGATATAAGCCGCGGCGCACGCCCTAAGTCCGGCGCAAAGCCGGGGTGATTTTCCATCACAAATTCGCGGCAACCGTCCATTGTGACAGTCCGCCGCACCGGTCCGTAATATTTTTATTTTTATTATGCTGCTTTTCATCGGAGGATATTCCCCACTGCAAGACCGCCGGTCTGCCTTCCTCTTCTTCCGGCACGCCGGAAATTGACAGCTTCCATTGCAAATGCCCTTATAACTTCAAAAGATATACTACCACCTATATGTTTCACAACATTTTCTTCCTCTTTTAAAACAATAAAATTAAAACTTTTCAAGACTTTTTTTATAAATTTCATAAGATCAAAAGATAAACAAAATTCAAAGACCAATGTTTGTGTGTATATGTGTGGGTGTATGTATGTCTCCACGGACATAAAATGTTTGTATAAATAGACAGTAGTCAGAGTTTCGTCTACACAAAATGCAACCATGGACAGAGGTTGTAGCCAATAGTAGTTGGAGCTCCGCCAGCGGTGCTCGGTGGTCCGGTGAGGAGATGAATTTGGATGGAAGCAAAAAAGGTATGATTATTATATGAACCATTTGTCTTAAGCAGTTAAGCATAATACATTTATATACTGAGGTGAGTACAAAAAAAAAGAAAGATAAAACACTCATTTTTTAGGCTGCAACATGGAGCGGTTCACGCCATCATGTTCAAAGTTCGGGGGGCGGGATTATATCTGGAAATTCACCCATGGACCTCAACTTCTCTAGGATCAGTCTTTCCTGCTTTGTATCTGTCCATTTTTATTTCAGTGTTTATGAGTTCTGTTAGAGAGGGATTACATATCTTCATATTCAAAGAAACCAGTGAAATCATCAGTTCATGAATCTAGAGCCCCTTTGGCATGTTTCATGTTAAAAGCTTATCAACCAGTTTTTATGCCAAATATTAACATATTCCACCGACCAGTGTGTGGTTCATATGAGTTCTCTCCCTCTACATAAATTTGACCTTTTCTTAAACTCTGTGAAATCAATATAGAAATGTAAATGCGGGGTGGAAAAAGTATGAAATTGCTATGCATATTTTGAAACAAACTTTATAGAAACTTCAGCCAAAAGATGCAACTTAGGGTGTGTTTGGTGTGAGGGGATGGAAGAGGAGAGGATTCTCGTTTGAGATGAATTTGGTTGAAGGGGAAGGAAGGAAAATGATGGTCCTCCAAACTTTATGAACCAAATGTGGTGGGATGAGAGCATTTTCCCACCCCTCCAACCAAACACTCCCTTAAAGCAGAACCAGTCATTTAAAGTCTTGCCAAAGAGGCTCCTAGCCAATAGCCATATTCCATTTTATAGAAGTGAAGAATGATTAAAGTGGGAAGAAAAGGTAAGAAGTAGCATACATTCTTCATCAGGGTTCTCTGCGAAATTGGAGTGCAATGCGTTTCCAGCGCTATCCACAATAGCTGAAGTAGTCATGGAGGACTCGATGCATAAAATAGCAGTGATGGCATCCAATTGAGTCACCTCCTCTCTGAACATCAGCCTTGCATGTGCTGTGCAATATTCGCATCTTAATAAGCCGTAGAAACATTTAACCAAATTGCACTTAAACTCTGCAGACTGTAGTGGTCTGCTAGGGTTGTTACCTTGAGCAAGCCGTATCAAACTTTCCAGCATGCGCACCGTCGTCCTGGCTGCAAATGTTCACAATTGATTGATGTAAAATTTCAAAAACAAATTCATTTTTTTTCTTTGCATTTTCCATGGTGAAACGACACAAAAGAAATCAACTTAATATTTGCTTTTGCCTTTGCTTTTGTTTATGAGATTGTTCTAATGTATTTCCTTTGTTCTTCTGAAACAGAGAGGCCGTTTGAAAAAAAACAGCACATCTACCCTTTGTAGATCTATGTATACCCCCCAAGACCGCACTTGTGGGACTTCATTGGGTAGGTTGTTGTTAAACATATCCTAAAGAAAAGCTACTCAGAGAATGTGAAACCAAATGGCTGTCTATCATCTATCTACCCTGTTGCCTAGTATATTTACAACATTGCAACCATCACCTGCATTTTCTGTTGCGAATCGTCTTTGGAGTTGGTAATAGCTTGATATAATATTTTCTGCCTCCTTTGAGAGAACTGGTTGAAAATTTCGCTTTACAAAGTGAATATACCTGTCAAAATTTCCTCAAGCTTAGTAATGAATAACTTCTGGAGTGTGATAGGTCACATGAAAATGAGTATACGAGGCATAGAAGATTCATCAGCATTTCTGTAATTTTGAAATTTTTGAATCAAATTGGTCTTTCTACGGCTCTACCCTATTTACCGTCTAAGCATAGGAAGTGGCCAGATGCTGTGCAGATCCTCCTCAGAATCGCAGCTCTTTGTTTCTGCCTGTCAAATTGTTGGGAAAAGGCGAAAAACAAAAATGAAAACAGAAGAGAACACCTATTAGGATTCGTAAAATATTTCATTAAACTAAACAAGTATTCATGTTACTTATAACATTTATCACCTCAAGGATGTGTGATGAAACAACAGCATCCCATTCCGGGTTCTTAGTGTCTAGTAGAACAAGGACTATATCAAATCTGCTCAGTAGCGGCCCAGAGAGAGAAGTATTAACAGATACAGCTAGCTTCTGCTAAGGAAATGATAATATGGAATGTATGCAGATAGAAATATTGAAAACTGATTCTTGATATTCCAGCCAGTCTGAAGATGCAAAAGGCACAAATGCTTTGGCCAGACGAAAAGATACACTGGTGTGGGTCGTAATGTCCTTTGGGATTTGTTGCACCAAAGACAATTGTCCTTGTACTGAGAGTCGTTACAAGACCTGCCTAGAATTTTTATGAAGATAGTGGTTATTTTCATTTCTCAATAAATATTCATATACTCCGTACATCACAACAATAAAATGATCAGAGGAGAGTTCAGACAATGGCCTCCCGCCTAAAACTTCGACAGTGCTTTTATGCATGCATTTTCTGTGTTAACTAATTTTAGATTTTGAAGGATGTTTATGGACAAATATAAGGAGGTACCAAGTATTTGATGGCACAAAAGCAGGCAAATTCTTTTATGGTCCTTGGGTCCACACAATTTATGGAGCTTCCGGTGACCATGAAAATACTGGGCCTTTTGCAATAAGAGAGGGATCAATCTGCCAGCCCATGAAAAGTATTGGAAAAGGCCCACATTTCACATGTGGACTAATGTGGGCCTTAGGACCACAAAATTATCCTAAAGCATATGGTTCTTTCTCATCAAAAAGAGACATCCAAATTGGGTAGCATTAAAAAAACATTGAACGGAAGTATATTACAACAAAAGAAACTTCTTTGGTATGATAATCTACCTTTGCAACACTTATAGTTTGCTGCTCCATTGCTTCATGGATGGTCACCCTGTCATGTTCCTTCATGCTAACAGCAAGAACATGATTAGGTTGAAATTAAGAAGACACCTACTAGAACACATGTAATCAGTTCTATAAAATTGCTGCCAAATTTGCTTTTGTTAAAAAAAAGACAGGCCTCTTGATGAGTCGTGAAGTATCATTGTTGTCCAATGGCATTAGAGAGAGGCTATCTAGAAGTCTCACTTTGAATCCACAGTGCAACAAAACAATACAGTCCCTGAAATATGCAGTTCCCTCATAAGTTTACCTATCAAATTCATCAATACAGCAAAGACCACCATCTGCTAGCACAAGAGCACCAGCTTCTAGAATCCACTCCCCTGAAAATAGTCAAGGTGTGAACTATGTCCATCCTCTAACTAATACAGATTAATCAATCAAAGCGAAAAAATGTTTTACCCCCATCTTTAACAGCGGTAACAGTTAACCCAGCACTTGTGCTTCCCAACCCTGTAGCAATTACAGATCTATTGCTTAATTTGGCAGAAAACTTCAAAAACTGTGACTTCCCAGTACCTGCTTGAAATATGAAACTAGAATTATATTTAGAGCATTATTCAGCATGAAATATAGACCTACAATTTTCAAAACAATATTTTTTAAAATAAGTATTATGCACACCATGGCCATGTTCCAGACTTCCATGACGTATATATTGCTTTTTCATTATCAATTTTTCAATAGTTTTAAAATATACTATTTCAACACATTGTAGTCTCGTGATGTTTTTCATGCAAGTGGAGAAAACATACCATGAAGATAGTTTTAAAATAGCATCCCATTATCCCTTCTTTAGAAGGATGCAACAAAAAAACCTTTCTGAATGTCACTATACTTTTTGCGCATGAAATCCATGAATGTATAGTGTTAACTAATACTTTGTATTATACAATTAATCGACACTATATTTTCATGAAACTCATCTCAATATTGTTGGGAGTTAGGTGATGATGGTGGTGGTGGTGGTGATAAAAATTTAAGTAAAAATATATTTGTTTCAAAATAATAGTAGCCACAAGAAGATAGAGGAAGAAGTTACCAGGATCACCAACAAGAAGCAAATGAGAATCACCCCTTACTTTTGTTCCAGAAGCATCAACATGTTCTACCCCTCCAATAAGTGTCAATGCGACTACATCAGATAAAAAATACCATCAAAATACAGGTAAAACAATTTAGACTGTTATTGGAAACAGAATGAATGTGTAAATGCAACCACAGCTAGTTATAAGTATGTAAGCCATGCATGTAATTGTAGATAATGGCAGCCTCATTTGTTGGCTGCACCTGGATTCAAATCAGTTAACAAAAGACAGCAGCAACAAGAATAAAACCTGCAAGCTTGACAGTGAAGAGCCCAAAGACCTGTGGACAAATGCCTCTAAGAATGGCATTCCGACCTACATATCACAATGGTTGATAAACAGTCGTCAAGATTTTGACAATAAACATGATAACATAAGGTAGAACTTTAGTACCTTTTAAAGGGGATCCTTCAAATTCTATCCAAAACTGCTTGAATTTCAAGATTATGTCATCGGGAATGTCTACTTCTGACTTTAACTCATTTATTCGCCTGAAAAAACAGTAGGGGGACTTTTTATAAGTGAAAAGAAGTATAATCTAGACAATGGTTACTCTTTGTCCATCCAAATCCTCACTACTCTTGGAACGTGGTGGTATGTAGTCTATCGTGCAAATCAAAGCAATATAAAAAGATTACTTGTTGCAGTAGAACTTTCAAAGGGTAAAATTATACTCACAATCTCACATCACCAAGCTATGCGTGCGCGCAAGCGCACCCATACACAGAATTCTCTACAGATATTTTTATTTTCAAATGGATGGTTTATATTTATACTAACTTGCCGTTCTTATTTTATTGGCATTGGGGTTAAGACCATCAAATCCTGACAGTTAAAAAGGGATGAAAAGATTAAAATTAGTCTTGCCTCTTGCGAGGAGTAAGAGGAGTACATTGAAGGCAAGTAATGCACTAAAATATTTTTGTTAGAGCATAAAACCATTCTTGGAGCTGCAATCACAAGCATGAGCTTGTGGTTGAGTTGATTCCTTGAAATGGTATCTTAGTCTTGCTGATTAAGAGGTCACGAGTTTGAAGCTCATTGTCACTGAATTTTTAAAGAAATGTTAATGTGCAATGCTTGAGTAAAAAAAACTTGCTTGCAAGTGACCTAACACCACAAGCTTGAGCTTGTGGTTGAGTTGATCTCTTCACAATTTTGATTCAAGAATTTACTACTCCCTCCATCTCATTTTTAAGTTCTCACTTTCCTTTTATGGGCGTCCCATATTAAAGTTCTCATCCCTTTTCACGAATGAATTATGTGGTTCTCAGTATTTCTCACAAATATGTAGAAATTCTAATCGCACAACTTCAACTTTCCTTCAACTCTATGAAAAAACAAATGGGAACTTAAATATGGGATAGAAGGAATATATATTTTACATCCTCGTTTTACGCTTTCTTTGACATCCTAGTAATGAAGTTTCACCCCAATTCCTCAACTGTGGCCCCTCAATTTTTTATGCTGTTAAACATGGACATAACTTTTGATAGTCTGATAGAGGGACTAACAGTGGCTAATTTTATACAACTGAATGATCAGAGTATGTTTACTTACATGCTCAATATTTTCTCAACTAAATTAGTACCACTGCGAAGCAAAAACATCACCACAGGAGGGACTAACAGTGATTAATTTTGTACAGCTGATGGACCACAAGTGTCTATTTAAAATTAATTAACAAACGGTGAGAAAGTACTAAAACTATTAAAAAGAAAGCTATAAAGGAAATGGCCCCAAAATAAATTAATTCTTAATAGAGGGGTGATTTGATATTTAGGTGGTTGAATTCCATTATGCATCTACAAGTACAACAACAACCCAGTAGAACCCCACAAAAGCATGTCTGGGGAGGGTGTCTCTATGCACACCTTACCCCTACTAAGACTGGAGGAGGCATCTGAAGCATGTAAAGTGGCCAAGGCATTTTTTTAAATACATAAGCTAGAAGATATTTTCTTGCCAGAGGTTTTCATAGTTTTGAACACAGCACCCCTCTTGCACACAACCGGCACAACCTTAGCAAACCTAGAGCATAAGCTTTGCGCACATTTTTTTGTTTTAGTTGTCTCCCACAAATGCCTATTTACATATCTAGGCCATTTATAATCCAAATATTTAGCTTCATTGCAGTATTAAGTTCTATAGAAGAATATTGCAAAGCCCCAACTTCAAATATTTTGTTGAGAGGTACTCCCTTTGTCCCGTAAAAAGGTTCCACATTTGACTTGGCCGAAGATTTAGAAAAAGCGAAATTGGGTGGTTAAAAGTGGTGCAGAGGAGAGAGAAATTATATGGACCACAAAAACTTTTCTAAATCTGGAAAGTGGAAACTTTTTTTTGGGACGAACAAAAAAGGAAATGTGGAACCTTTTTGTAGGATGGAGAGAGTATCAACTAAAAGACAACACCATGTTACCTCACATGATTAGCAACTAATACAGGTTCAAGATCACAGCGAACATCTTTTAAATCTGATAACCATTTGGCTTTTAAAACCCCAGTAACAATGACATCGTCTGGAGAAAAGTTAAAATACATCAGTAACTTGGGAATAGCAACAATGTTGTACGCATATCATGTAAATGTTTGCAGTTTGCCATGCTGGGTTGGAAAGTAGTACCTCCAGCTTTAACCATGTCAACAAGATCATCCATCAAGATAACAGGAATGGAACGAGGGATCGCTCCAATACCCAATACCTGGGTACTTTCTTGAATTTTAATTTCCTGATAATCACGGCAAACCATGCTATCTTCCACAATCTGGAAATTTCTGCTTTCACAAAATTTAGCCTTCTGTAATACGAAAATTGGAATCAAAACCACACAGATATGGGATGAAACCATGTGAAACTCCAGTGCCAAATTAAAGCAGCTGCCATGCCTAAAATGCTACAATCATAAATACTACATAGTAACTATGGAGTATAAAAAAACAAAGAAAAACCTTTGATGGACATGATGTAGGCTTGGGAATGGAATTTCTAGTTTCCACCTCAGGATAAACTTTAAACCTGCAAAGAGTGTCCAACGCCAAAAAATAAAATAACAGGCTCTTCTAATGCATGTCAAGTTTGTTCCTGAAACTTTTCAGTCTATACCAATAATACCATCTATGACTTAGGATAAAGCTGGAGAAAAAACATGAATCACAATATCTTCTTTATAGACCAATGGTCTAGATTTATACATAGTTCCTATTTTATTTAAGTATGTCCGATTTTTTTAAATTTTAATGTACCCCCACCCCGAAGGAAGAAACAAGTCTAAAAGAATTCAGAAAACACAGTGGGGGGAAACACAACCTGTGTTTACATCTCCTGCATTCGTACAACTTTTCTCCTTCGATCATTTTCACAGGCCCAGACCTAATTACAGTCCCTTTGAGCGTAAGAAGAATCCCTCGATGCTTAACCCGCACGCGACCAATGCTGGGAAAAGTTTCTGATATGAACAAAAAAACAGCTTGATATTGTAGCACAAGACAATAGGGCATATTTGAAACGGAATGCAGGAACAGAACGAACCTGGGCATTCAAGAGGAGAACCGCAGGCATTAATTCGAACATGTACGTTGCTCTTGACAAGAGCATCTTCAAACTGACTAGATATCTTCTTCTAATCAAAATCAACAGAAATCACAATCAGATGTGAATTGAAAGCAACGGATGCATTCCCATTAACAATCTAATACCTGTGCCAGAACCGCTGCTTCGTCGAAAAGCAACAAATAATCATCAGGCTGCGAGAAGATGAACTGAGCAATGTCAGGGTTTTCGTCCATAACCTCTGCGAAACTGATGAGGCGTCAATTCATTCATCGGAACGTCGAATGAGATGTAAGCAGATGAAGACGCGGAGGAGATTAATGGAGCTTACTCGACATGGAGAGGGTAGTGAAGACGAGGATCCGGAGCGAGAATGATGGACTGGAGTTGCTCCGAGTGGTTCATTTCCAGATACTTCTGCAATTTCTCTCTGTGGTATTCAGATTCCATTCAATCTCAGGTCTTCGTTCGCCGTTCCGGTGAGTATTTTGTTATTTCTCCGTGTGATTTGTCGCGACGGCTTCTGCCCCCTTTGCCGTTGCCCTTTGCCGCCACACGAGAATATTAGGCGGGAAAAAAGATACGCTTCGTTTTGGGCCTTTTCTTGGGGGTCATCCATTTGGTAAATTATTACTCCCGTGTATAAAAAAACAACTTCGTTCCCTAACATTGGTTCCCAATGTCATGGGAACCAAGCCCATAAAAAAATCATCAAAATCAGCTTTGACTATTACGAAGTATTGAATAGGGAGTATAATTTTAGGTAATTAAATATTATAAAAATTTGATATATTAAAATAAAATCTAAAATTAAATATAATTATACGAAATATTGTTTTTTACAATTTATAGTCAAAGTGTAATAAATTTGACTACAAAGATTAAACTGTGATGATCCTTTGGAACGGAAGAAGTATTAAAATAAAAAAAATCAAAGGTTGTTTGATAAAGTAAAATTTTAGCATGTCTCCCTATCCATGAAAATACTTTTAATATCATATCAAGATTCGATAAATCTTGAAATTTACAAATAAATTTAGATTCGCGAATAAGATCACTTACAAGAATGCCGTGCCAATTCAAAACAATAAGTTATTATTAGTAAATTTAAAGTGATAAAAAAGATTAGGAATAAAAAAAATTAAGAATTAAGTATACTAATGAAGTTTGTGGTGAGCCTAGCTAGACAAAACATCAGTAACTATAAGACTGGATCTATGGATTAGGACCAGAACATCTAAAAATCTCAACTGTTCTAACCCGCCCACCCTAATTTGTGGCTCATAGTTTTTGCAAAGTTTATAGTCTTGACTTTTGACGCATGTTGTAACATTTTTTCATGTTTTCCTATTCTTTTGGTTTTTTAAAAAAAAATCTAAATAAATATATCATTTTTTTTATTACTCTACAATTAAAGGTGAGTTACATCTTCGTGGGGTTTTGGTGACACCCACCTTTACAATATGTTTGGTTCAAGGAATTTGAAATGGAAAAGAAAAGAAAATGAGATGGAAAATAGTTTTTTTTGTTTGGATAGAGAGGAAAAGAAAAGAAAAGTTGAAGGAAAATGAAATGAGAAAACAAAATATATTAAGAGAAGGGAAAATCAAATTCCTTCCATTTTGGTGAGGAAAATGAGAGAAAATCATTTTCTTTTCTTTTCCTTTCAAAATCCTTAAACCAAACACAGTGTTAGTGACACTAGCAGTGTCACTGTCATTTTGGAACACTTCTAATACTCTGTTCATAAAATTGACGATTCATATCCCCCTAAACCCCCACCCTGCTCCCGCTCCTGCACCCCACCCCAACCCCGCCGTAAGCGCCCCACAAAAAGTGTGGTTATTATGCAGGGGCGGGGATAGAGTGGGAGGTTTAGGGGTGGATAAGGGGGTAGGAATCGTAAATTTTACGAACAGCGTACCGGAAGTGCTCAAAATGACAGTGGCACCGGAGTGTCACCGTACTCCGGTGTCACTAGAACCCCACCGATATTATATTTCTATATCTTATTTCGTACAGTATAATGACAAAGTAGGGCGACACAAATTCGTTTCATTTTATTTTGATCTCGAATATATAGGGGTAAAGAAGTATAAACTTATGGTCCGAACTATTCAACATTATTTGAAAAAATGAGATAAAATCTTAACTATCCCGACCCGGGCCACCATGCCCACCCCTAGCCGCTATTTCTTTGCCAGCGAGGTAAAAACAGTAAAATATAGGGAGAAACAAATTAAGGGGTTGATTTTGACAACCACAAAAAGTGAAGGGTACAAGAGCAAGGGCCTGTTCTTTAGGGCTTGAACTCTTAACTTTCAGTTTTTTCTAGTTTCTTCCAGTTTTTTCCAATTTCTTCCAGTTCCTTCCAGATCCTTCTAGTTTCTTCCAACTTTTTTCATTTTCTTCAAATTCTTTCTACTCCTCAACCAATTACTCTAAAAATGATATATTTCAATGTGATTATTATTATTATTATTATTATTATTATTATTACAACTGTTATATTCATAACTGTAGTTTGTAAATTATTTTTTTCATCTCACTATTTTTACGATTCACACTTAATATTTTTTTCTTCAAATTTTTAATATGAATAAGACATTTTTTTGTATATTAGTCTACACGATAAAACAGGAAAACATCAATATGTTAAATTATTCTAAAAAATTATGGATAAAAGAGTTACATTGAATGTAAACAAAAAAGTTCTATGTCTGAATTCCAAAAATAGGAATTCAATGAAAATAAAATGTCAATCATGAAAGAAACAATAAATTTGATTATGTGACATGTATGATATTTAAAATAAAATGTTTTAATATTTAAATTATAATTACAAATACATTATTTATATTAAATACTGCATAAATAAATTGAGGTGGAATATAACTACACAGCCTATTTAAAATTTAATATTTTTATATTTATGCTAACTTTATATTATAATTATTTTTTGTAAAAGTAGTTTTTTGTATTTAAAAAATAACAATACTTTTTTTATATCTTAAAGACATTTACTAAGATAGCGTTATGATGCTGATGATTATGTTGGTGATGATGATGATGATGATAATAATTTATAACAACAAGAATTTAAAATAAATAATTTTTATTTTTTTAGGTTTTCCAGTTTTTTATAGTTTCTTCCAGTTTCTTCCATTTTCTTCTAGTTTTTTCCAGTTTCTTCCCGTCCCTTCCAGCTTTTTCTAGTTTCTTCCAGTTTTTTCCAGTTCTTTCAATTCTTCTAGTTCTTTCCAGTTTTTTCCCAATTTTTTCCAATTTCTTTCAGTTTTTTCCAGTTTCTTCCAACATCCCGTTTGTTTTTTTACAAAGAACATGCCGTAAGTGGAGAGAGACTAGACCTGGCAAAAAATGACCCGACCTGAAAACACTGGGTTTTGAACAAAGGTTTTGATTACCGAACCCGAAGTTGACCGAACCCGAAATGACCCGCTAAAAATGGGTCAAGCCCGACCGAAACCGAACCCGACCCGACCGACCCGCTAAAGTGATGGTTTTTCAAAATCATACACTTTACTACTCGTTTTAAATGTATAAATTTATATTTTCAGACAAAATTTTAATGATATTGCATAATTATCTTACTTTTTTCTAAACTTACGCTTTTTTTAAATTCCTTATATTGATTTATATGTCTAATTTTTTTTTCAAGATTTAAAATAGAATAATCTAATGGATTTAATACATATTTTTTGATATTTTAAATTTATTTAATAGAAAATGTAAATGTTAATGTAAATTTAAAAAATTATAAACCAAAGTCATAACCCGTTGGGTTGATCTGAACCCGATGACACTGGGTCATGAACATACAATTCTCAACCCAAAACCAAAATGACCTGAACTCGAAATAACCCGAACTCGAAGTGATCGAACTTGACCTGACCTATGGACTATTTACCCCCTGTAGTATATTTCGTTGGGAGATTCTGAAGCACGCGAGAAACGATCCGAGCCAGAGGCCGAGCGGTAGAGGTGGAGAATCCCGCGATGGAGGCCGATGACGTGGAGATGTCTACGGTGACCAACGGGCCAGTCGTGGTTTCTCTCCATCTTCTTGATTTCCTCCTGCAATGCTTCTGAGTTTCTGATTTGATCGTACCCTAACTCCGGGATACCTGTAATCTGGCGTGTGTGTGTAGGAATTGGATGAAATGAAAAAGAGGCTGAAGGATATGGAAGACGAGGCGGCGGCTCTCCGCGAAATGCAGGCCAAAGTTGAGAAAGAAATGGGCTCCGTTCAAGGTTTTTGATTTTCCATCTCGCGATTCCTAGGGTTTATATTTTCTTCCGCGTTCTTAACTGTATTTGTCTCAATTGAAGCAAAAAAAATGATTTTTTCGATGGGATTTTTGGATCACAATTGTTTGCTCGTGGAAGAAGTGGTATTGCACTGTGTTTGTTTAGTTTTCACTTTGATGTTTGATTTTACAAGCAGACCCTGCTGCTGATGCTGCAACCCAGGCTAACAAGGAAGAAGTGGATTCTCGTTCGGTCTTTGTTGGCAATGTGAGACTTCTATTCTCGTTTATTCGTTATATCATGGCTGTGTGATTCACTGCCTTCTTGCACTGTGTTATGTAAGGAATGTATAGACTAGAGTCAACTGGATGATATTTCAACATGGTATATTATTACTGACAGGTAGGTCAGTTTAGGTATTCTGTTAACATAAAGCACCGTCTTGTATTTTGGCAATTGGTTTAATGGTTTGCTTGTATGCTGATATGAGTAGGAGTACGAATTTGAGAAATTTCATTGAAGTGTGCTCTGCGGTACCTGCTGCTAACATGCGCTTTAGGGAGGGAGGGGGTGGGTCAATTTATTTATATTTTTTAGTTTTTTTGTAGTATGGAGTAAAAAATATTGAAGTGAGGGTTTGGTGCCCATTAACCATAAAATACCCTTTTATTTATGGTCGAAGGTAATTTTTAAGTGTGATTTTGACCTTTTTGAGATAAACCTTGCTGAACTTTTGCTTCTCCTTTAGCCACCTATTATAGTTGAAAGATGTCTTACCTTGAGGAGCACAAAACAGACCATTGGTACTTCCTTTGTAATGCACCATTTTAAATATTTTTTGAAGAAAGGACTGGTCTGCTACATCTTCTCTTTTGTTTTTAATAAAATTATTCCATATAATGGAAGCCTTGGCATGTAATTATGAAGACAGTTTCTACATGTTGAGTTTCATTAAGATTCTTCTCCTTAGAGTTCCTGTGTTCTATTAATGCTTGGTAGCCACAACCTGCACTTCTAAAAAAAGAGATTTTATTCTCTTTTCTAGACATAGAATGTCTGTTAAAATTTCCATCTTAGCCCGCTAATTGAGCGATAAAATAAGTAGACCCAATAATAATGGCTTGTGATAATCATCGTTTGTTTGAGTGCTACTCATGAGTTGTGTTTGGTCACTCGTCATCGATTGCAGTCTTATTTGGGGAATGTATTTTCTTTGCACAGGTGGACTATGCATGCACTCCTGAGGAAGTACAACAGCATTTTCAGGCATGTGGGACAGT